GAGAGAGGAAATGATAATAATGAAATATATATGAAATTACATAATATGAAAATAATATCAATCAAAGTTAAAGGGATGAGATGAAGAGAGGAGGATGCTAAGGTGGGAGTGGGAGGTGGTTGATGATGATAATATAATAAAGTATTAAAATTGTGCTTATCAAGCAGAAAAATGAGCAAAAGGAGGCAGAAAATATTATGACTGAGTTATCAGAATGAATTTTTTTTCGGGTTTATCCTTAAGGTAAAGAATCAATTTTGGGTTCATATCAGAACTTGACTATCACCTATTCACACCGTTAATTCATCTTCCACTAACTGAATCTTTATCATGTTCACCTTGATAATTTCAATAACTGATTTTTGTTTACCTTGGGATTATTTCATGAGGAAGAAAGAAAGAGAGAGAGAGAGAGAAAAGTTCTGTCAACATTTTGTTTCAATTGCTCTTAAATAAATGTCATTGATACTCATCGAAATTTATTAGTAACTTTCGATGAAATAAATTGCATTGATTATAAATGTTTAGAATTTATTTTCTTGTTTTCGTTTTCTATTTAAGAATCAATTGGAAATCTGTCTGAACATTGTTTCGACTTTTTCGAGAGAGAGAGAAAAGAATTAGAACTTTTAATCAAATCAAATTGTTTCTTTTTGACGGATTTCGATCATTACAGTTGATTCAGAACAACAGATTTATGTAATGATATATTTCAAGATCTCTCTCTCTCTCCCTCACTCGGTCTCTCTCATCTACATCATCCTCCACAACCACCACCTCCTCATCCTCCTCTTATACTTGAGAAAATAAAATCGATTTAGAAACAGTCATTTGTAATAAAAGAGGCAAGTCAAGGGAGGAAAAAGAAAGGAAAGAGAGAAAAGTTCTGAGTATGAACTAGGAATCTATTGGCATTCAGCCAATATATTATTATATCAGAATTTTGGTAAAGAAAGAGAAAAGAAAGAAGAAGATGATGACAGAGAAAGAAAGAGAAAGAGAGAGAGAGAGAAAAGTTCTGTCAACATTTTGTTTCAATTGCTCTTAAATAAATGTCATTGATACTCATCGAAATTTATTAGTAACTTTCGATGAAATAAATTGCATTGATTATAAATGTTTAGAATTTATTTTCTTGTTTTCGTTTTCTATTTAAGAATCAATTGGAAATCTGTCTGAACATTGTTTCGACTTTTTCGAGAGAGAGAGAAAAGAATTAGAACTTTTAATCAAATCAAATTGTTTCTTTTTGACGGATTTCGATCATTACAGTTGATTCAGAACAACAGATTTATGTAATGATATATTTCAAGATTCTCTCTCTCTCTCTCTCCCTCACTCGGTCTCTCTCATCTACATCATCCTCCACAACCACCACCTCCTCATCCTCCTCTTATACTTGAGAAAATAAAATCGATTTAGAAACAGTCATTTGTAATAAAAGAGGCAAGTCAAGGGAGGAAAAAGAAAGGAAAGAGAGAAAAAAAGTTCTGAGTATGAACCAGGAATCTATTGGCATTCAGCCAATATATTATTATATCAGAATTTTGGTAAAAGAAAGAGAAAAAGAAAGAAGAAGATGATGACAGAGAAAGAAAGAGAAAGAGAAAGTGAGTGAGAGAAATGGTAAAATCAATATGACCAAAGGCTATGCTTTGTCATGGAAAGTTAATTCTTTGCTTTCTTTTCTTCTTTCCCTCCTTCAATTTTTCTTCCCCTTTATCATCATCGTCTTCATCTTCATCTTCATCTTCATCTTTATCTTCACTTTCTCTTTCTCTCAATTTCGAACCTTCCATTTCGTCTATGGGCTTCTTCTTAGTGAGATGTAACTTCCTGTTTCCGGGTTTCTAAACTTATTCCTCTGTTGTCTCGATATAATAATAATAATCATCATCAATATCATTCTTGGAATCACCATCATCTTCTGGTCACTTGGAAAAAGGCTATTATATTATATAAATAATGTATTTTCATATAAACACAATCTGGACAGTCTTTGTTGTTCTTGTTATATATATACTTTAATGTTTTCCTTTTCTGGTTCTGAACAAAAAATTCCTGTTCCCTATCCTGTTATCATCAACTTGATGATAATAATCATCATGAGCATCATTTTAACCCAAACTTTATCATGGCTTCAATCATATGTAGCAAACAAACATTGAATTCAATCTTGTTGAAAAGGTATAAAAAAAAGTTCATGATACATTAAGATTTTTTTTCCCTTCTTCCTGTACTTTGGGTTCTGAACCTCTGAATTTCAGTGATTCATGATTCGTATTGATTTTTAAGATGATTAATGAATCAAGAATCAAAATTGAATGCGATTTGCAAATACAACTTTCTCTCTCTTTTTTTTTCTTTATCGTTAACAATCAATTCTCACAATCAATCATTGCAATTAAATCTAATACAACAAAATTAACCTCATTCACCATGAATCTATCATCTGTTTAGGTGTATAAGTTTCAAGGTAAATTCTGAGAGCATGGGAGAGGTTGAGATGGTGGGTGAATATGTTGATGGTGATGATTGAAAAGTAAAATCACCCTGAGGTGTTTTGTTTAAAGTAAACTGTTTTTCTTGGTTAATCTCCAAGTCTTTTCATTTATCATGAAGATGAAACTTGAAGATAAATCAGTGAGAGAGAGAGAGATATTGATGATAATGATCATGAAGATTAAGGTGTCGAAATCGATTGATAAATTAATGTTTGTAATAAGATGAAAACAAGAAAGTAAAATATACAAGCCGATAAATAATTTCTTCCGATTGATTAGTTGATTCATAATTTACAATTAACGTGTTAACCGTCAATTGATTAGCATTCAAACGATTAACTAATTTAGTTATTACGATTATCTAATATGAGAATTATTTTCTAATGTAAATTTTATCATGACAAACCAAAAAATCAATTACAATTTAAGAGAGAGAGAGAGGAAGAAAAATTCATTATTAATCATTGAGATTCACTTGATTAATAAATTTGATAATATAAATCATCTTGATTACAATTAACTTTCGTTCCAATGTAATATAACTTGACAATTTAATGATCTCTCTGTATTCACATTGATTAACTGTGTATATTTACATGATGGTGATGAAAAAGATGAGAGAAAAAATTATTTTTTTCTGATACTGAAAATTTGAAATTCTGTCTTTTATTCTGAATAATATCATGATGTGTATTATTATTGAAATGTAATAATGGTCTATGCTAATAAATAACAGATTACATGGAAAACTCCTGAACTCTGCTCTCTTTCTCTATCTCTCTCTCTCTTTATCTCTCTCCCTGAATTCATTGGATGATGATGAAAATGAATTATATCAAATCATACGTTACCCTGAATCAAACTGAGAGAAACCAGAAGGAAGAAAAAATTTTTCTCCATGATATCGATCCATATGAAAATATATATTAATAAACTTTGACTATGATTCCATGTTGTTGGGTGTTACATGAGGGAGAATTGAATTGAAGGAGTGAAGAGGTTGGTTCTCATGGAGATTCTCATTGGAAAAAAGAGAAAGAGAGAGAAAAGTTACTTAGAAGAAAAGATTTTCTTTTCTTCTCGTCACAAGAACTTTTCATCATCAGAACTTTTTGTTCACCCAAATGCTCCCATTCTGATACTCACCTCATTCAGAATTCATTACAATACTTGTACCAACCTTTGGCTCTCTCTCTCTCTCTCTCTCTCTCTCTGACTCACTCACCAGCTCCTTAAAACTCACCTTTAGGATTTTGAACAACTTATCAATTCAGAACAAGTTGAATTCATGTCAATTAGGGTTACATTTTTTTTCATAATTCACTTGAAATCAATCTTAATGAGATTTACCATGAAAAAGTGTAAGGATAATAATCACTTGAAGTGGATTAGGCTTTTGTTATCAAGAAATTATCATTGGCGGTAAATTTTTCCCACCTCCACCAAGAGACAACCATTATGCTTGTTAAGATGTTGATAATATTTGATATTTCATTAAAATATCACTTACCTGTTTTTTTTACAACATACAATTGTATTAGTTTAATTGTTTGGTATTAATTAAAGGCTAAAGTTAATCAGTGATGATAAAAGGATGAGGATAAAGACGATGATGATGATGTTCATATTGTTAATGTGTCTTCTTAACTGATTAACCAGAAAGAAAATTGCATCTAAACAGTAAATAAGTAAATAGCCTGAGGCCTATTTATTTATCTTTTGTTTATTCAACTTTGTGTTATTTTTTTACTTCATCATTTTCTCAATCACTTTGCTTTTGTGATGATCATAATCAACGGTGGGGTGGGTAAGATGCATGGAAGATGAGGATTAACAAAAAAAATCGTATTGTTATTAATCTTAACCCTAAGAAAACTCATTAAAATGATGATACTGATTTCTCATCATCCTTATCCTCATCATCATCATCTGATAATTTTTCACTTCTTCCTTTGATCTTTAAACTGGATTAGTTTTAATTGTGTATTTCTTCAAAAAGTCAAGTTGAGTCAATTGATTTACCGGTAAATCTGTACTAAGATATGTAATTATTATCATATAATTATAATCTCATCTGAATTAATCTGGTTTTAACTTGATTATAATTACAACACATATCAGACTAATCAGAGAGAGAGAGAGAGATAAACAAACAAATTATTGATACAATTAATCAATTGCCAATTGATTTATCAATTATCTATCTATTTCTTTGTCCTCAATGTAAACAATTAACTAATTGCAATTGATTACAAGTTTTTGATATTGAATAATACATTAGACTCAATTAATCAACTAAATCAATGGTGATTATCATCATCATCCAAGGACATTTGAAAGGCGTGATGAAACACATTGAATCAACATTATCATCATGATGATCATGATTACCATGATAGATTAAATTGTATTTCCGGAACAATTAACAATGAATAAGCAGAATTAAAGTTTATCAAATTAATTTTTTATTTCTTTTTCTAATTGTTTTTCCCTTAGAGGGTTTGGGTTTGTGACGTTTACAGATTCCTCGAGTGTGGATAAAGTTTTAGCGAATGGACCTCACGAATTGGATGGTAAAAAGGTAAAAAAGTTCGAACAAAAACTTTCTTGGTTCGATTGATTTTCCAGTTTGTTCTAAAAGTTTGACTTCTCTCTTCTTTTTATCGTTAGATTGATCCAAAAGTCGCGTTTCCAAAGAGAGCACATCCGAAAATGGTGACGCGGACGAAGAAAATTTTCGTCGGAGGTCTTTCAGCACCAACAACACTCGAAGATGTTAAGAACTATTTTCTTCAGTTCGGTAGAATCGAAGATGCAATGTTAATGTTTGACAAACAAACGAATCGCCATCGAGGTAAGAATAAGAAGCGAAACTCAAACAGAAAAAAGAAATATCATAAAATAATAAGAAAACTTTAGAACTTTTTTTTCGAAAAATTCATGAACTTCATCTTGGAATCATTTATTTTTCTCTGTTTATCTGGTTAAATGAAAAACTTTCGTCATAAATGAATAATGATGAACATTTTCACGAACAAAATTAAGATTCAAATCAATTTATCTTATTGTATCTTGATGCAAATCTTAATTCTCAATTCTGGTAAATGTTTATCGGGAATAATTCCATGATGATGATGATGATTATTATTATTACTCCCATTGAATGATACTGATGGAAAGGTAAATACCTTTCATTATAAATAAGATGCTGATTCTCATTGCGATCATCATGAAGATGATGAGGTAAAAAAAATCAAGTTTTCTTGTTTGCTGGTCCATTAATCCTTTTCCTCATCTTCATGATGAGCTGTTATTTAGACGATGATGATGATGATGATGATTGAGGAGGAAGATAAAAGTAGAAAGAAGATGAAGAAGAAAATGAAACTGAATAATGATGATTCTAAGTGAAGGTTATTCGACTCGATGAAATTTGATTAATGGTCTCTTCCAATGGGAAGATTAATGTAAATACAATAAAATGAGAAGAGAAAGTGAAATAAGATACTTTCACTTTCCATGATGATAATGATGAGGATGAAGATTATGATTTGCTTGAATCATCATCATCATCTTCATCAATGAACCTTTTCTCTCTCTCTCTCTATCTCTCTAGTTCGTTGTTCCAATTGATTTGATTCTATTGGAATCGGATAGATGGAACTTGATGAAAAAAATATATTCCATCTTCAAGTTACCATTATATTTACTGAACATGTTTTTTTTTCTTCTTCCGATATTGTAAATTTACTGTTAATAGAGATGATGATGATTATCTTGATTGTTATGTAGTTGAGTGTATGTGTGTGATAATAATAACAAGAAGCGTTGATTGTTGTTTATTTGATTGCCTATCATGTTTATGTTACATTTCATTCAGTGAGTGTGAGTGAGTTTGGGTGAGTTAGTGAATCTGATAGCTTAAAGGTTGAAACTTTGTGTTTTTATTGGCAAAATAAGATGAGGAAAGAAACATCGAGTTCTAATACATATCGAGTTCTTTTGGTGAATGTTATTTTCTTTTCCATTCTTGTCTGCATATCCTCTCGTTCCTTATATATCCTAATCATTATACTCAGTTCTGGATTCAGTTTTTCTTGAAACACCATCATCATGATGAACATTTTCACCCTGAAATCCAGAACTACAATTTTATCTTTATTCTCTCTCTCTCTCTCTCTCTTCAGTCTATCTCTCTTACTCCCCCTGTCTATCCCTGTGTGTTGTTAACAGTTTTGACAGAATTGAATCAATAAGAACTTTTTTTTTCTCCTTCTACGATTCTGATTGACTCGATGATCATCATAATGAACTGACAGGATTTACAGGGTGTGTAGATTCAGGGAAGGTTAGTTGGGTTGTATGGGTAGAAATATTTCCACTCTTCATCTAAAGATGATGATGGTGATGATGATGATGGGAGAAGATGAAATAAGAAAAGAAAGAGAGAGAAAATCTGAGATTCGATGTGAATGTTTTTCCTCGATTTCTATTCAATTTTATCGACAGCTATTAATGCATGATTCAACTTCCATGGTTATCGGATTGATTTCTTGAGTTTATATCATTTTGGTGTAATAATTAGTTTCCATTTATTGACCAGTCACATGAAAAGCATCATGAATTCAGGAAGAGATTCAACTTTTTCTTTTCATTTCAGTGGTGATGATGATGATGAAGGATCCAAAACAAAGGAAGTGAAAAATTTTCATGAAATTTTCCCACTCTCACTCATCATTCAATTTCAATCTTATATCAAGTTTCTCATGATGATCATTTTTTTCACCTCGTGGATTGAACTTTTTTTTTTAATTTCCGGTTCAATTTTTCTCCACATGAAAACCTACATTTTCAATGGTTGATTTAACCTGATCATCATCATGAGCATCATCATCATTATTAACCACCCACAATCTTACCAGGGGGAGAGTGAGAGGTAAAGTTACTCATTGAAGAGAAAGAGAGGAAAAGTTGACTCCAAATCTCAGGAAGAAGAGAAAAAATTTCGAATCAGTTCAGGTAAAAAAACAGAGGAAACTCGATGAAATAGATAGAAGTTGTAATGGAAGTGTTTTTTTCTCTATTCTGAATTTCGAATAGAACTTTTTCTCAGAACTTTTTTTCTCTCTCTTCTTTTATTTCTCAGTCTCGAACACATTTATTCATATGTGTCTGTTAAAATTGTTTCTCTATCATTCCCAGTAAATAATCACGTTCCGATTCAATTAAGAGAATCATCATCATGTTATTATTATGGAAACGAAGAAGAAGAAAAAAAATCTTCAATCTTGATGAACTTTTAGTCTTCCAAAAGTGATCTGTTTTGTTTTTTTCTCTTGTTCCCTTTTTCCTTCATGATAGACAAACTTAATCTTCAGGTAACAATCAAGGTAACATTCAAAATGATCCCAAGAGATGATGAGTTGGAAGATAAGTTGATGAGAAAATGATGATAAAGTCAAAAAATCAAAGGGTTTCAAGTCGACATTTTATCATTTTCATGGGGATACAACAAAAAATTACATGAAAGTCATCAAAAAATATCTAATACTCGATGATGATAATCATCATCTTGGATGAATATTAAAGATATCGTCCTTATCTTCATCACCATTTTCAGTCTCTCTCTCTCTCTCTCTCTCTCTCTCTCTTCATCTTCCACTTTTACTTACCCTTTCCTGTCTTGGAGGCTCAGGATAATTTGTCACTCCCTAGATCCCTGATGATGATATTAATAATATTTAAGAAGATGATAATAATTTTTACCTCCTTTGATCGACATTTACTTTGGGCAATTCTTGATATTGCTAATTTTGTTTTTCTTTTATGCAATTTTATCATGAAATTTCATCATGATCATGATGATGACAAGAAATACATTTCTCACTTAAATGATAAAATGATACTTGATATATAATAATAATTTATAAAGATAAATTTCTCTCCCACCTTTTAACTTGAACTTATCCTCCACCTTCAATGTATCCTTAGCATGGGTATTATCATTATTATTATCATCATGAGATATCAGCAACTTTATATAACTTATATTATTATTATCATGACATGATTCAAATTATGATTGTATTATAAATGTATATACATCAAAGTGTTATAAGATGATGAGGATAATGATGATAAAGGGGATAGAGATTGAAAATCTCATAGATCCAATATTAAGATGTTGATGTAAGATTATTTTCTTGTGAATCGACTTTATTTTTTTATCTTTTCTACTCTCATCATCATCATCATCATCTAATGAAGATGAGAATATCTGTCTTTTTGTCAGTCTTTATCTTCTTCTTCCTTTTCCCCCTTAATCTATCTTCTTATAAGACGATATAACTCATGTCCTGAATAAGTGTATTTCCTTGTCATGAGAACACGATCCAAGTGTGAAGATGAAGAAGACAGGGGAAAAGAAAAAAGTTCTAACGGAATAGAGAGAGAGAGAGAGAGAGAGAGAGAAGAAGAAGAAAAAAGTTCTGAGATGAATTAGAATTTTCTACCTTATCTTCGTCATCATTATCTTCATCTTCTATTAATCTTGACTATTCTCTTTCGAGAATTTATTTGAATAATCAGTTTACATTTTTAAGTCTTCTCTTCAATTCGATAATATAAGATTACCCTTCTCATCATTTTCCATCTTCATCTTCCTTCCAGTTCAATATCATCTCGAATTCAAAGAAAAGAAATATAATTTTTTTTTCTTCCATTTCGACTGAGATGAGCAGAAATTTTTCGAACTAACTGTACTTTTTTGGAGAGAAAAAAAGAACAGTTATAAAAAGTTCTAAATGTTTATTATTATAATAATCACCAACTGACCATCAAATCGATTAATTAATAGAATTTAATTAATTCAATTAACTTTTCTATTTTTTCCCTTTCCAGGTTTTGGTTTTGTAACATTCGAGTGTGAAGATGTAGTTGATAAAGTTTGTGAAATTCACTTCCATGAGATTAATAGTAAAATGGTAAGTAATCAAGTTGACAATCAACTAATTGTCAGTGAAAAATTAGTAACTATTTATGCTTTTATATGTTTTCGGTGAAAGTTTCATCAATCCATGGGAGGGAATATAAAATTTCAATTGTTTCCCTGAAGAAATATTTTTCTCACCATCAAGTAGTACTCACTGTTTATGAACCTCTACTTTTCAAGTAGATATTCAAGTTTCAAGTTTCAAGTTGAAATTTCAGCTTCTTCCTTTTTTTTTGCCCTGTTATTTTCATCATACTCATTATCATGCTCATGGTGGATTTATTTACAGGAATTAAAGCTAATCTCTTGTTGGTTTTAACCCACTCTTCCAAAGTGGAAATGATTTTGTGAAACTGGGAAAATGTTGATATTACTTTTTATTGTTTTTCCATGATGATTATTATCATGGTGATGAAAGAAACAAATTGATCATTTTTACCAGCATTTTAACCCTTAAGTCTTATCATGAACTTGAAAAACTATCAAAGCCAAGAGGATGAATAGTAATGATGATGATATCTTGAAATCTGAGAAGGAAGATAAAATCGAGAGAGAGAGAGAGAGAGAGAGAGAAGTTCATAATAGAGAATGATGAGAATTAAGAATGACGCAATTCACCTCTTTCTCTTTTTCGAAAGGTAATTTTTCCTTCTCTCAACCAAAAGGATTTCCTCTGAGTTCGTTACCAGAATTTCTAATGCATAGCATGATGATGATGATGATATGATAATAATTCTGAACGAGAAGATAAATTCAGCAAAGAATCAAGAGAATCCTTGAAAATGTTAACAAGCATCTACTTTTTTTACTCGCGTTGTTTTGGTTGATCTGAAAAGGCTAAGAATCAACTGGGAGTGAAGATGATGATAATAAGGGTTATTATATAATCTTTTCATTATATTATCATCTTCCACCCCTAACCAGCTCCTCCTCTTGCTCTTCTCTCTCTCTCTCTCTCTCCTCACTCATCATTATCATAATAAAATCATCAAAAAAGACAATGAAGAGAAGGAAAAAAAATTTTTCTAATGAATATGTTGTTGAGTGAATGAAATGGAAGATGAAAAATGACCATTGGTGTAATTTAAATGACCACAGAGGAGTTTCACTAATTAAAAGGTAGTCTAATTATCATGAGGAAATAAATGAATGAATCAGGATGATAATGATGATATAAAGCTAATCTTCAATGACCACGATGATGAGTATATAATGTTAATAATGATGAAATAAAATTCATCTTAATCTGTTGATGGAAAACAATTGAAACTTTTTCTTGTTAATTTTATCATAACTCAATTCTGTTGATTGAATTTTCCAACTTCCCCTGTGGGCTGATAATTAACCTAATAAAGGTTTAAATTGATTACACATTTTCAGGAACTAATTGTTGTCTTAATTGTTCAATTTTCACCCTGTTCTTCAGGTTGAATGTAAAAAAGCTCAACCCAAAGAAGTAATGATGCCTAATAGCGTAGCTCGAGGCCGTGGAGCGGGTCGAGGTGCCTATGGTAAGTTTAAATGGAAAATAGAATTTTATTTTTTACCGTTATCTTTTATTTTATTATTTCGACGAAAGAACTTTTCCCCCATATCTCTCTCTCTCACTCTCTCCCATTGTTGTTGGTGTGTCTCATTCCAAACCTCTGAGCATATTAATCATTCATACCCTAACCTCCCACTCGCTTTTTACACATCAATTTATCACAATCAACCAAGAGACATGACAACAAAACGATAAAAAAAACAACAATATGATAAACATTTAACTCTTATTATCAACACTTATTATCATGAAATTCATCATGATAATTTATTTCGCACTTTTCTTGATTCAATTTTAGACAAAAAATAATTACATGAAACTCACATGGAGAGAACTTTTTTCTCCCATTCTTTTCTCATTTCAACACCTTATTATTTTCTTATTGATTCTTTTTTCCATCTCCATCTTCATCTTCTCATCTTCTCATCTCTTTCTCTCTCCATCTCATTCTCTCTCTCTCTCTCTCTTAAAAACAGATTTAGTATGGCCCTTGGGTCCTATCACTGATGGTGAGTATCATTAACCAATTTAACTTGTCTCAACAAGCCAATTTAATATTACCTAAATTTCATATTATGATTTGAATCGCAGGGTAAACATTTCATGATGAAATTCACCTTAACATGATAATGATAACCTTTTCCTGACCTTTGAAATACTTTCATTTTCACTCCCAAGTCAAGTCCCAGTCTCCACTTTTAATACAACATTTATTACATTATTTTCTTGTTGCTACTGTAAATGTTTACCATTATTACTTTGAGTTTATTTCATTTCCCTGTTGACAATTAGATTCAAATTTAAATGATATTAATCATCATTGTTAACTGTTTATGATGATAATGATGATAATGTCTCCATGTTAATCATTGTGGTGGATAATCAATATTCAATGAATCATTTTCATGGCTTGATGAATGAAGATGATGATCAAGTTATGTTTTTTTCTGCTTCTTCTTGTTTTGTTTCTTGTTTTTGCTTATCCATTTTTCTGCTATTATATATGGTAATTAATGTAATTGTTAATTAGTTAATTATCATTATCATGATTCAGAAAATTTTTCTTCTTTTTCTTCCTTCAGCTAATGATATTATTTTCATGAAAATATTATCATGAACAGTTTTCGGTTAAGGTAACAGCCTTTTTATTATTATATAAAAAAAAACTTTTTTCAACATTTTTATGATGATGATGATTTTCATTTATCAGGAAACGGAAATGATGTAAATAAAAAGACAGAAAAACAACAAGAACAACAAAAGATAAGGTTAACTGAATGGATTTTTGCTCTAAATTATCTTGAAATTTGTTTCAAGACTCATTAAGAGATTGACTTTTTTTTTCTTTATTCTTTATAATTTCTATTAATAAATTATCATGAATAGAATTGAGAGAAAGTATCACGACAATAACAGTAAGTGTATGAGAGAGAGAGAGAGAGAGAGAGAGAGGATGATAATACTAATGACTTGATAATGTATTGTTACAATTAAAGTTTACGATGGTCAAACAACAATCAGTTGGATATTGGATCAGTGATTAAAGTGATTTAATAGTTTCACATGAACTCCACCTTTTTATCGTTTTGTGTTAAGAATTGAATCAGAACTTTTCCTCTCTCTCTCTTTAGAATCAAACATCCACCCATCTCCTGGAAAGTTTGCTAGCTCTCTCTCTCTCTCTCTCTCTCTCTCTCTTTTTGAATGATAAAATGATAATGATGATGATGATAAGCATCATTATCTTCCTCCTCATCATAAAACAATAGTGTAACAATTTAAAATCAAAGACACAAATAAATATCATAGTCCATTGAAATTGTGTCAAAAAAAACTGCAACAAACTCATTACCGTTTTCAATGGTTCCTCAACTGATATAAAAGTAGTAGCAACTTTTTCATCTTGAAATTACTTCACAGTTTTCTAGTATATGAGGCTCATTCAATTTTATCATCATCATCATCATGATTACATCTTATAACCTTGGTTATTTTCATGGTATTTTAACTTACAACCACTACAGAACCATTGAAATGATGATCATGATTCATTCAAATATCCACTCTTGACCAATAACGCCTTTATCTGGTTCCACTTTCAGATTGAAAACTTTTTTATTTCCTTTCCTGTTGTTAATCTAATACCTTTTCAAGTAACACCAAAGGAAGAGATAAAGTGAGTGAGTGAGAGAGAGAGAGAAAATATAAGAGATAGAATTCAGAATTTGGAATCAATTTAGATTGGGAAAAGATATTCAACTCACAGGAATCTCATTTTCAGCATGATTCCAACATGATGATGATTTTCATGGTGAATGTTAAAGTTAATTGATTGATTTTTTTCACGCTATTAAAACTTACGCTTCAATTTACTTGATTTACCTTTGATTTTTTTTTGTTTATTTCAACACCTTTTTCAAGTTTAATCTTAATTGCTTGTAATTAAGTTTAATCATCAATCATTAACACCTCACATTTACTGTAACAATTTAAATACACACATCTATTTATAGTATAACAATTAACTTTATATCTACATAATTATATTGATATTTTCATGAGTAAGTAAACGATAATAATAAATTATATATCTCTGTTGATAGTAAATCATATTTACCTGATTAGCTTGTTGTTTGCTTTTGTTTCTGATTAATTGATGATTACTATTAACTATGTGTGTTTGTGATAATTTACATGTAATTGTTGTTAACATGTAATCATCATCATCATAATGATGATAATAATATAATAACAATAACAATAACAATAAAAATCAACAATAACAATGATACATTTCCTATTAGATGATTGAAAATAAATGTTAACCTTATTAATGGTTAACATTTGAAATGCCCAAACATTAATGTTCAATTATATCATGATGATGATCATGTTTTATATCCAGTGTTAGATTAACATGATACTAATCCATTATTAATTCTAATTCTCTTTTTAAATTGTTGATTATGTTAATGATTAACTGATTCTCCTTTATTCCTGATACATTGGATGAAATGAAGAATCGACAATCGATTACCAATTTAATTTCTGTCTCTACCTTTTCCATCAGCTGATTAAGTGATTGTTGATTATTTTTTATCATGAAAATGTACAAAATTTTCATCATCATGGGCGTCAATTAATGGTAATCATTATGATTATCATGGTGATGATGATGATGATGGAATGATGTTGATTAATCTAATTATCATTGTTTGATGATTAATTGACACCATTAGGTGTGGCTACGATTCTGATTTAATCTATTGATTCATATTACACAATTACTATTAACCTTTACCTGGTTTTTTCTTGTTGTTTTTAATATCAAAATACTGAAAGAACCAAATTGATAAATAATTAAATAACATTAATATAACATTGTTAATATTTAACTAACTATCGTGTCTCAATTCAAATAACAACAATAGCAAATCAATCAATCAATCAATCAATAATATATTAGATTATCAATATATAAGTAATATTTAACTAGAGAAAACAAAAATTCAAATCAATATCGATCAGAATTAATATTTCAGTTAGTTGATAATATTGAGAAAATGATTTTATTTTAAAACTTTTTGATATAATTAAAGTGTCATTTAGTTTATGTGAAAGTTTTGGTTAATTTTTAGTCAAATGAAAGTAATAATAGGAAAAGGTTATCATTAAATTGTTGAGTAAATTGAGTAGATGATTAACAATTAAGAATTACCTGAGAATCTGAATGAACAATTTATCTCCCACCCAATTTAGTGTCTTACCCTTGCGATGATTATCTCGAAGATGAAAAGGTAAAATTAAACAGAGAAAACAACAATTTATTTGATTGTAAAAGTTTCTCTCTCTCTCTTTTTTTTTGATCATTTTGATAATAATAACACAACGACACTTGATTTGATTATCATCATAATCATAATCATCATCAATTCAATTTCTAATCAATTTGAAACCACACCCAATAGAAAAGATTGGGAGAGATAAATCTGACTCTTTCTCCATCATTCCAACATGATGATTATGATGAAAAATGATGATAATCTTTTCTTTTTTTTTCGTTGTTCCTTGTATTCCAATTGACTATCAAATCATTTCCTTATTTCTCATCCATTATCATCATCTTGTCTCTCTCTCTCTCTCTCTTCAATTCAGATTCACTCAAGTCCTTGTCTCCTTCCACATCAGTTCCCTTATTTCCAGGATTCCCTGGAGCCTATGCTGGTTACGCAGGGCGTGGTGGTTATCCAGGTTACCCTGGTTTCGGGTATCCCTTTGCAGGTATGACTCTCAATCAACTACAAGGGATCTGCATACCTTTGGACCATATCAACAATGTGCACGCCGCCGCTGCCGCATTACAACAATTATGATAAAACGTAACTAGGCCAAGTGTAAATTACACAAACACACACACACACACAAAACAAAACAAAAAACACACAACACAAACATACAAAACCCCACACACACACACACACAAAAACACAAACACAAACACCCAAACAACAGACACACTTACAAGAAAACAAAAGTCTATACACACACAGTGAATCAAATTAAATCGCAATTTATTAACTATGCAATTTGCTGTTTTAATTGCAAATGTTCAAAGTTGTTTCCTCTTTTTCGAAGTGAAAAAAACCCAAAAAAAAGAGAAACCCAAAAAATCACCACAAACAGTTTTCTTTTTTCATTAATTTTATCTCTCTTATTGATCTACTTTTATCTTTCTCTTTCATTATCTTCATCCTCTCATCTTCATCCCTCATCTCTCTTTATCTCTCACTCTCTCTCTCTCTTTTATCATCTTCATCTTCATCCTTATTAATAATTATCATCATCATCATCCTCTTCTTCTTGATCATTTGACAACAACAACATAAAAAATTACATGAAAATCAACCAAAAACAAAGAGATAACAAAAAAATCAATCGATTATCAATTACAAGGCTATAAAATAATTAACATGGAAGAAGATTTAAAAAAAAATCTCTCAACAAAATTAACAAGCAATACAATTACCATGATTTGCCTAATTGTGATTAACTCAATTACTATTATTTATATGATTTATTGATTAACTTTTCTCTCTCTCTCTCTCTCTCTCTCTCTCTCTCTCCTTTCTTTTAATCAATATGCTGAAAGTCATATATAATTATTATTATGATGATGGTTAACAATACAATTTAAATTAAATCAACAAACAAAATTGTCAACCAATTGTTCAATGCAAATTATAATCAAATCATTAAATCTCATCAAAAACTTTTCTGTCTTTCTGTTAATTGTTGTTGCCTCTCTCAATCCATTGTTTAATTACATATACAATTGGCTTCACAATTGAATTAAATTGTAAATTGTCAATTTAACTTCTCTCTCTCTCTCTCTCTCCATCCTCATCCTCATCCTTATCCTCCTTCATAATCATCAATAATTAAACTTAAATTGTTGATATAAATCATATTTTTCTTCATCACTTTTTCTTGTTGCTCTCATGTTAGTCCATTGGGATTTGTGTATATTCACATGGGCAAAGTTAATTGTTGTTAATCATTTGATTATTATCATTTAGATGACAATTTATCTCTCTCTCTCTCTCTTTCTCTTTCTCTATCAGTTGATTAACCTTAATTTTTCGGTTGATTTAAGTCGATGATAACAATTAATATCTAATAGATTATCATGATGATGATAATTAAGCTTAAGAAAAGTTAATCATTAATATTATTAAGATAATTTCAATCAATCTTAATGATGATTAGTTTTTGATCATCATTATCACAATTCACTGATAATAAGTAACCAAACTTATTGATGATAATTAGGGTTTAATTAAAGTCTAACCAACAATTAGAGGTAAACCTAATCATCATCATTAAAATTATCTTACTAATTGTAATCATGTCGATAAAGTTAATTAATAGGATTAACATGAATAAAATCATTAAATTGTTGAATAAGTAATCAAACCAAACAGGAACAAAAAAAAATAACAATAACAATTAACATGAAAATTTGATTCTGTAAAATAGTTGAAAACAATTAACTAATCAATTGTTGATTTACTGAAGAAAATCATTTGGGTTAATTTGAAAGTTAGTTAAATTAGAGGAAGAAAAAAAATGTTAAATTGTTATAATTTAATTAGAAAGAGGTAAAGTTAATTGTTTCGAGTTAATTACAAAGGAAAACGATATTAAAATAATAGAGAAAAAATTTTTTTCTCTTCATTAACTTTAACCGGAAGAGCAAAGGAGTTCACTCGGAGTGATAACCAGGGAGTTTTTTAATCTTCCTCTTCCTCCATCTCCTCCCTTCAATCATCACACATCATCATCATCATCTTCATCCTTAAAAGTCATTACAATTATAATGATAATGATAGAAAAACGTAAATTAATCAATATCATATCAAGTTTAATCTTTTACTATTATTTTGTTTTCCTTTTCCAGTTTTCTGTTGAGGTTAACCTGAACTTGCTGATAATCAACTCTTACATTTTAACCCTAATTGTATTCAGATAATCACCACACCCTTTAATCATCATCTCTCACCATCATCATCAAGTTAAATATATTCTTAATCATGATCATTATCTTTCAGCTGCTTTTGTATTCATGTTAATATGTAAGATTTTGTTTTCTCTCTCACTCCCTACACACTTCTTGTTGTCTCTTCTCATTCAGATAATATTATCATCTCTGAATTAAATAGTAATAAATTTAATTTGATTTTCTTGAAACCGCAAATTTTGTCTCATCAACATGATTGACATTTGAAATTTTTTTCCTTCTCTTCATCTCTTTCTTTCTCAGAATCATGTTGATAAAATTGATCAGAACTTTTTCTCAGAACTTTTTTTTTTCCAGAGACAAGAAGAGAAAGAACTTTTTTTTCACTTTCGTTTCTCTCGATTTTTCTCTTTCTTTTTTTTTTTGATTCTTCCAATTGATCATGATGATGATGATGATGATTTCGATTATCATAAACAAATGATTATTAGAGTAACTGAATTTCGCTCTCCCCCTGAAAAAGTTATTCAGAATTCACAATTTGTATGAAGAAATGAAAGCGAATAGAATTGAGAAGATGAGAAAGAATAAAAATTATAGCGAAAAAATTGTAATATAAGTTTTTCTTTTTTTTTTCTTCTTCTTTTCATTCATTTCAACGGTTTCATCTAATAAGGATTTTGATTCATTTACTATTCAATTGTTGAGGATGATGATGATTCCCTTGATTGTTACAATCTAACGATTGTTAACTTTTAATCTTGGTTAACTTATTGAATTGAATTCACCCGAAAGTCATCAAACAATCAATGACTAAATCACAATCGTAATCATCTGTTACTCTGAAATAAGTAGTAGAAGAATGAGAAAAAAAAATCTAGAAACAATTAGAATCAATTTCTGATTCAATTGCTTTTCTCCTTTTTTTTTAGATTTTTTTCTCAATTCATTCTGATTCCAAAGGGATGAGGATGAAACTCCAGGATGAAATCATCATGAACCATTTAAACTTTCCTTGAATACTTATACTTATATTTACTGTGATTCAATCATGATCATGATCATCCTCAGGCAAAGTTACAACGAAACTTGATCCATCTCTGATGATAATATAATGATATCGCCCAAATGATTCAAATATTTTATCAGAATCATTGATAATATCATTATGATGATGATATTGAACCTTGTGTTGGGTGATGGGGATGATGATTGTATTATTATCCCTTGTTGTGTATTATCATGATTCAATTAAATTGTGTAACCATTATTATGGTGTAACAATTAACTCGTCATAAGTTTTGCTGAGAAACAATTAAGGTTGTAATTAATATGGCAAAAGTACATTGGGTAGCACATTGTTGATCTGGTATGTAAAGAAAAATAAAATAAAACCAAATCATCAAAATAATTAACTCACAATTTAACTAACAATTAACCTGATTGTCAACAGCCGTTTAAATATATTTAACAATTAACTTTCTTAATGTCCAATGTCCATCATAATTGTTGATTCATTAAGTTTTTTTTAGGTTATCACAATTGTCACCCAATCTAATCAATACGTTTAATCAAATTGTCCAAGAAAATATTGATCAACTAATCTAATTGTTTACAGGCAATTAATGTATTAACAACCATTGGAAATAATTTAGATTAGATTGAAAGAAAAAGCTAATTGTAATGATTATGTATTAATCTGCGTTAATTATAGATATTTTTTACCGTTAATTACAATCCTAATTAGTTAATTGTAGGTTTTCATTGTAGTGTAAAAATTTGTTTCATGTTTTAATTTGATTAGTGATTAACTTTTTTTTTTCACTCTTTTTGATGATTATGATTTAATTTAATTTCTTCTGTTTGATTTTTACATAATTAGAAGGAATTAATTTAATCTTATTTTTTTTCGTTAATTTTTTTTCTCTCTCTCGTTTAAATTTGTTACAATTACAATTAAATCGAAACGAACTTTAAATTTCCTTTGGACCTTAACGATCTGGTCTTCGATTTCCTTGACCTTAGGCTTCATTTCGGCCTGGTATCCAGCTCCGGTCACAAGTCAACGTAGTTACGTTAAATCAATGGAAACCTCAACGGACTCAATTCGACAGGAATAGAGAATAAGAGAGAAAGAAAGTGACAACAATTAATCCAAACAATCAGTCAACAATCAAGTGATTAAAACGAAACAAACAAAAACTCACAAATATAAGACAAACACACAATCAAAGGATTTCCTTTATTATTTATATATATCAAGATGAAAAACAAAATATTAATAATAAACAAGCAAACGAATGGTGCAAATATCATATTAATTAATTATATACAAAAAAAAATTGATTAATGACCAAAAGTTAACAATTAACTTTACTTGAAAAAAAAACTCCCTGTCAAAAAATCAACTGATTGTATTTTATTTTTTTTCCTTGTTGTTGTATGATGATGCTCATGATAATATATATTAATGGTGACAATTAACATTGGGGTGTACAGTTGACAAGACTGACGACAAATGCAGATGATTATTATAATTGTTAATTGTGATGACAAGATGATTTATCATTCGTTAAAATGGTTGCTCTCTCTCTCTCTCTCTCTCTCTTTGATAATCTAAACAATTTACACGGTGGGTTGAATCGTAAATGTTAATTTTCTTGCTCCAACCTTAATTGTGGGTTAACCAGAATTGATATCAATGATCATTCTGATGGTGTTTTAGCCTTAAAATCCTTCAAATCAGATCCAAAGTTTTCCCACTCCACCCACTCACCTCTTCCTCTGTTTCCTCCTTATATCATTCCTTTTACATGGAGGGAAAAAAATCAAAGCAAGAAATAAAATCTCTCTCTCTCTCTCTCTCTCTCTCTCTCTGTCTCTTTCACTCTCCATCCTCATCCTCATCCCCATCATCAGGAATCTTACCTTGTCGTGATGATATTTATCACCAAGCAAAAAAGAAAGACAGAAAGAAAGAAACCATTTTGCTCATCATCATCATCATCATCATCAGTTGAGGCAAAAAAGGCTAATTCATTTAATGATAGCTTACAATCATCATCATCATCATCATCTAACTGATAACAATATAATCATAATTTAATAATAATGGTAATAGTATTAACATGATAACAACAATGATATTAATACAATGTAAAAATTGGTTGAGAATTGAAAATGAGACAATCAAAAGCCAAAGGAAAATATAATTTGTCGTTATTATTATTAACTGATTGCGTGATTTAATCACGATGGTCCAACGACAATGAAGGAAAAAAATTAACTTGATATATATAATATTTCCTATTATGATTGTGATTATTATTAATATCATCATGATCATGATCATTAATTTAAGGTGTAAGAGATACAATAACAAGAAAATCAATCGATTAACAATTAACAAAGTTTATTATAATTACTATTACATGGACTCACCATGATTTGTCTAATTGTGATTAACTTGATTACACTAAATCATATGTACATCATCATTTGATATGATTTATTGATTAACCTTTTACCTCTCACTTTTCATTGTTAATCAATAGGGAAAAATAATTGTCACGATGATGATGATGATGATGGTTAACAAAACATAAACAATTAAATTTTTGTCAACCAATTGTCCAAATTATAATCAAATCATTAAATCTCATATCATAATAATATCAAATATAAAAGTTTCTATCAACTAATTTAATTGTTTGGATCATCTCTCTCTCTCTCTCTCTCGGTTAATTGTCTTTGTTCACCACACACAATTAACCACAACAATTGAATTAGATTGTTGTTCACAATTGTCAACATTACTCTCATAGCCACTCAGGATTATCTTGAAACGATCAACATGATGATCAATTTTATTTTTTTTTTCTTCTTCTCATTTTTGAACAATAATCATTTCCATTGGTTTATAAATCACATTTTCCTTTGCATATCATTCAAAAGTAATGATATCCTTCAAAAATGATCATTTCAAATGTTTCATCATGAAAATCACAGTTACTATCATCATCTAAATCATATAAATATATGAATTTATTGACATGATGTTTCATTTCCCTTTGGAAATGATTGGACATGATAATAAGATGAAACTTTTACTCTTCCTATTCAGAATCGATTGACTCTTAACATGATGAAAAAAATTATTCTTCAAATTTTTCTCTCAATATATCAACAAGCTCTTTCTTATTATCATCATTTTCATCTTCATCTTCATCTTAATCTTTATCATCTCTCATCTTGCAATTTTTCAATATCATATCCCAATCAAAGTTTTCAAATATTCCTCATGATTGATTGTCAATAAGTAAAAAAAAAAGTAACAGTTCTGAGATAAATTTAAATTGTTCACTGATATAGTTATTATAATGGTGACAATTTGATTACAAATAATATTCATACATTTGTATCAAGGTGATCATATCATAAATCGTATCAATTTCAGGCAAATCAAAATGGCGGAAAAATGTATTCATATAAATAATTATTTCAACGATTACCTGGTTATTCAAACTTTAATTGCTTTGCTAATCACTGGTAATTTGGTTGGTAATTAACGGAAGAAAAATGTTATTAAAAGCTCAAAATTAAATAGAAATTGATATTAGCAGCAAAAAGCTTATTCGAATCAAATTAACCAGAATATTGATCAACTCAAATTGTGGACAAAATTTGCAACAATTAATTGTAATTCTTAAGAGCAAATTGCTCATTATAATCAATAAATTTATGGTAATAAATGGACTACCTATTATGTTTATTTAATTAAATAATGTCCCAGAAATTAAAGTTATCTTTACATGAGAACGTCTTAGATTTGATTAAATCTTATTATCAAACAATTGGTGAACAATTTAAATACTGTAGATGATTAAATATATAAATATAAATGGTTATTGATTGGGGAAAATTTTACATTCACTTGTAATAGTAACAATAGATTAACTTAAAAAGATTTAGATTAACAGTTAAGTCTAATTGTTTCACATTGTTTAAAGGATTATCACAATTTAGATATCAAGTAACTCTCATAGATTTGTAGATTTATAAATATTTTATATATAAATTAAATGTCGATTAAGATTGTAGATTTGGCAGATTAAATTTTATGATTAATTGATTGTCCTTGTTTGTTGTTACTCGGCAAACCAAACACTTTGATAATGATTATCGTCAATTGTATGATAAATATGAGCCTCGCAATCAAGGAAATCCATGGCTGCCTGGAACTCAGAAAGTGAAACCGTAGGAAATGAATTACGAATTTCTGACCTGGATAATCCTGGATAGAGAAAAGAAAATTAAAGCAATAAGAAAAAAAAAGAATTACAATTTGTCACAATTAGTGTACAAAGTATTAAATAGAAATCGGAAAAATTGTAACAATCAAACTTACCCTCGGGTTTTTTACACTGAACGAGTAGATTTAAAATGCTAGACTGTAAACCACTAAGACTCAGGAAATCACCAGGACCCTTTGAATTATCGGTAACCGATTCATTTATTTCACTTGTAGATGGACAAGGAGTATCATCTATCATAGCTTGACCTTCAGTTTCATTAGGATTAGTGGTCACTTCGGTTGTGTTATTATCGGTTTCGGTTTCGGTTGTATTATTATTAATTGTAATGTTTGTGGTTACATTTTGATTACTAATGCCACTGGTATTGGGAACGGTTGGAACTTTGAAAATCTTATTCTTAACTTGTCTCAATTCAAGTGAATCTCTAACAATTTCACAACAATGTATCGAGATTTCATTAAATTCAGTTATCGGGGACACAGAATAAACAACAAGACAAGGTAATCCATTGGTTTCCATTTTAATTTTACCAATAAATTTACAATAATCACCTTGATTTAAGATATTTGAATCAAAACGATAACCACGGTAACAAATGACTTTTAAACAATCAATATGAGAACCATCATTTACCTTAATAGTAATGTAAGTATCTTCCATTGATTTATCAACAATTTTACCAACCAATTTAACCAAACCAATTAGATGTTTATGAACAATTAAACCAATTGAAGGGACAAATAGTTTAATAATCTGGTTAACCGAAACACTTAACAAAGGAATACATTTCGATGAACTTATGGTTTCATTGATTCTATTAGTGGTTGGATCTAAAAGCGATGATTGTGGAATCCTCAACATGATTAGAACAATTAATTAATGAGAATGAGAAAGATAATAAACAATGTTAACTAAAAGAAAATGAAATTAACGAATAAATTTAGTTTAATTAAGCCGCTTTTTTGTTGTTCTTTTAAAAGAAAACATATGATTCGGTCGAATTTAAATTTGCCGCTTCTCTCTGATTGGTCGACCTGAATAGCCTCTCATAAGCTTACACATCGGCTTAAGGAATCTGAGAGTTAATTTAATGTTCACTTTGTTAATTTGATTTGGTAGTTTTAATTTAGTTTCTATTGTGATTAAGTAAATTTTGATTTGGTGTCTGTTTGGTTGGACGTTTGTTTAAAGAAAAAGGGTTAACCATGTCGTCTAATCTTGGTAAATTGTGTCTTCTTTTTATTGTTTGTCTATCATTTTCTTTTTCCTCTTCAGATGAATCTTCAAATTCGGGTTCTGGTGAACAATATCAATTCCAGGCTGATATGAATCGAATGATGAAATTAATTATCAATTCTCTTTACAGTAATAAAGAAATTTTTCTTAGAGAATTAATTTCTAATGCTGCTGATGCATTGGATAAAATTAGAGTTCTTGCTTTAACTGATAGAGATGCTCTAGAATCAAATACTGAGCTGTCAATTAAGATTAAGGTTGATAAAGATAATAATTTACTTCATATAACTGATACTGGTATTGGTATGACTAAAAGTGAATTGATTAATAATCTTGGTATTATTGCTAAATCGGGTACTTCAGAATTTTTGGAAAAAGTCAGCTCATCTAGTGATATCTCTGTAACCGAGTTAAATGATTTAATTGGACAATTTGGTGTTGGATTTTATTCCGCTTTCCTTGTAGCTGATCGGGTTGTTGTCACCTCAAAGTCAAATGATGATACTGATCAATACAGTTGGGAATCTGATTCTGCTTCATTTACTGTCACCAAAGATCCTAAAGGGGCTACATTAAAACGTGGAACCCAAGTTACCCTTCACATCAAGGAAGAAACTAAAGATTTCCTTCAAGAGGAAACTTTAAAATCTCTCATAATCAAGTACAGTCAATTCATCAATTATCCAATCTATTTATGGTCAAGTAAAACGGAACAAGTTGAAGAACCAATTGATGATGAATTAACACCCGATGATGCTGTTAAAGAAGGTGAAGATGATAAAGAAAAGGAGATTAAAGATGAGGATGATGTTAAAATTGAAGAAGACAAAGAAGACAAACCAAAGACAAAGAAAGTTGAAAAGACAATTTGGGAATGGCAATTAGTTAACACTGCTAAACCAATTTGGACTCGAAAGTAAGTTAAATTAATTCTCTACTCTTTTTCCATTCTAATCAGAATACTAAACAAATTGAATCTTGTTTTCTTTTTTATATTAATCTTTAGACCCGCAGAAATTACTGATGAAGAGTACAATGAATTCTATAAATCAATTACTAAGGATACTCAAGAACCTCTTGCCAAAATTCATTTCATTGCAGAGGGAGAAGTTACTTTTAAATCTCTTCTTTATATTCCACGTGTCCAACCATCAGAATCATTTAATCGTTATGGAACCAAAACCGATAATATTAAACTTTATGTTCGACGTGTTTTCATTACCGACAATTTCCAGGACATGATGCCAAGTTATCTAGCATTTTTACGAGGTTTAGTCGATTCGGATGATCTTCCGCTTAATGTATCCCGAGAAACTTTACAACAACATAAGCTTCTCAAGATAATCAAGAAAAAGCTTATCCGAAAAGCATTGGATATGATTAAGAAAATAACCGGTACCGATTATGATAAATTCTGGGGTGAATATGGTACCAACCTTAAACTTGGAATTATTGAAGATACTTCAAATCGAGCTCGATTAGCTAAATTGTTACGATTCCAAACCTCTGGACTGGAAAAGGGTAAATTAACCTCTCTTGAAGAATATGTTTCACGAATGAAACCAAATCAAGAGCATATTTATTACATGGCGAGTTCTAATTATGATGAGGTCGCTTTCTCACCTTTTGTTGAGCGACTTCTCAAAAAGGGTTATGAGGTTTTATACTTAACCGATCCCGTTGATGAGTATTGTATCTCAGCTTTACCTGAATTTGAAGGTAAAAAATTCCAAAATGTAGCCAAGGATGGACTTAAATTGAACGAATCTAAAGAGAAACTTGAAGCTCTTCAAAAACAATTTGAACCACTTACCAAATGGCTTGAGGGCACAGCTTTAAAGGATAAAATCTCGAAAGCATCAGTATCTCAAAGGTTACACGATTCACCTTTCGCAATTGTTGCCAGTCAATTTGGATGGACAGGTAACATGGAAAGATTAGCCAAAAGTAACGCTCATTCCAAGAGTAATGATGTAACTCGTGAATATTATTTATCTCAAAAGAAATCACTTGAAATTAATCCTCGACATCCATTCATCAAAGAAATGCTCAGACGAATTGAAAGTGACCCTGAAGACCCAATGGCCAAAGATATGACATCGATCATGTTTGAAATGGCAAACCTTGAATCGGGTTACATGTTATCCGATCCAATCTCATTTAAATCTAAATTAAGAAATTTACTCGGTGAAAAATTGGGTGTCGATGAATCAGCCATAGTTGAAGAAGATGATTTTGAAGATGATAACTCAGATTTACCAGTTAAATCATCGGAACCAATTGATGAAGATCAACTTGATGACCATTCGGATGAACATTCAGAGCTTTAAACAAAAATTGAATTTGAATACTTTTAGTTTCTCATTTTGATCTTTTGCAATCCCCTTTTTCTATTCATTCTTTCCAACAACAATTAACTTGTTATAATAATAATTTATTGTCATTAATTTACAACAATCAACAAACAACAAAACAAAAAGGTAACACCCATACCCACCTAATTATAGATAATTCCAACAACAATTCCCTAATTGTAAACTCTTCAAGCAAAAATACTTGTGTCACAAAAGTGTTTCACTTATCCTACAAATGAATTGAATACACATGACAATTAATCACCGGTTCTCAAAATAAATTACATGCAATTTTTACCTAATCAATTGTAGTTAATTTCTCTCACAATGATTATCGTCATTTGATATTCTTTTAATTTTTAATATTAAAAATCGAATCGAAATACAAATTTTCTATGGAAAAACATTCAAATCTTATTTTCGTAATTTAAATATTCAAAGTTTTCCCAATCGAAATGGAACAAATTTAAATTGTTGACATTTAATTGAATGATTAAGTTGATTGTGCGATTTTCTCAGGAAAAATATCAGGGAACTGAAAAAATCCATTTTCTTCATCACTTCGAACCTTCTTGAGTAAGTTGAACATCCAAGTGAAGTTCGAGGTTTCTGATTGTTTCCTAAATTGTTTTCGTCAATTCTGATTCTTATTTCATCTACAGTCATCGACAAAAGTTTACGGACAAAATCAACTGATTGAAATTCTAGTTCTGGTAGAAATGAATTGAAAATTTTTTCACAAATATCATATTCTCGGATAATATTTTCATAATTGTATTGCATTTATAAATTAGTTGACTAATTAGCTAATTATTGCTTTGAAATCAAATAGTCCATCGACTAATTTAATTGTATAATTACTTTGTATGAATATTTGTCTATCCATTGTAATTATTAATCTAAATGGGTAACAAATTGATCTATGATTAGATTGTTTCGTTGTATCGATTTTCTTTGAACGTTGAAAAAAGTTTTTCATTTGAATTGTTATTTCTACGAAAAGTTGCCTCGTTGATAAGATAATTAATTACCTTACAATTAATAGAAGAATTGACGTCATTTGAATATGAATCTATTCTCTTGTTTTAATTAGAATAGTTAATTAACGAGAAGAACTCGTTTTCTACAGTTACCTTTTATTTGGAATTGAGTATCTCTCAAAGTTAATGATTTTCTATCCATCGAAACTATTTGAATTTCTATTGATATTTAATCGATTCTTAAAACCAAATTGAATCAAAGTTATCCCTTGAGGCGATTCTTATGAATATATTAACTAAACAATCAAAAGCTTTTCATAGTTAGAATTCACTAATTTCATTAATTTGGACACTAAAGGGACAACAACTCGACGATCCATCTGAAAGGTTAATATTGACATTTGTCTCTGTCAACGACTTGATATGTAAATTTAGTGTTGATTGTTGTCAACAGGTAGCAATGATCTACACACAATTAACTAATTGTAAATCGAATTGGTTGGAATCAATAAAAGAAAAATCAATCTAAGATGTTCCAATTGGTGGAAGTTCATAATGCATAATCGACTTTCTCCTTGTCATCCAATTTAAATTTTCTCTTTCGCAATTGGAAGATAAATTTATCATCAGATGCTCACTTTTCTCTCTCTCTCTCTCACACTCATTCACTTTCATACTTGCTTATCTCCTGATCTTCATTGATTATTTATCATCATGTTGCCTTAGTTATGCTTATGATAATTACTATGGTTTGACAAACTAAATCAGTTTGTCATGTTAACCTTTTTCATTATTATGTTTTGATTTGATTGTTTCCTAATATTGACCCATTGTGATGGTCAAGGTGTTGATCTGATTGTATCGAGAATGGACTTTATGAAAACCAAATTAACTTTGTACATTCTACCTCATCGTAGGCGTAATTGTTTAATCATCTATTTAATTTTGTTAATTCTCTTTGTAACATTAGTTGTACACAAAATTTATCTCACAACGCGAACCTGGACTGAGGACGATTGGTTTAAATTAAGACCCACCGGTGGAATCATAAATTATCAACATGATTACCTGATCCAAAGTGAACCCGCTTGTGATGATTCAACTCAACTTGTGGTGTTTATATTTAGCCGACCTGAAGCCTTTTCCGTCCGATCTGTTTTACGGAAAACTTGGTTATCGATGGGACCTGAAGATCACTCAGTGGTCTATAGATTTATCCTTGGATCCGTTAAGGATGAAAAAACTTCCGCCCAGGTTAAAAAAGAGTCCCAACAATTTGGTGACATAATTTTAGATCAAACTTTTTCCGATTCGTATCAACTACTTGTCCTTAAAACAATTTCCATGGTCAATTGGGTTACTAATTATTGTCCAAATGTCGACGCCATGTTGAAAACCGATGATGATTCCTGGATAAATGTACCAAAGTTACTTGAAATTATACCAACTCTTAAATCCGGTATTCATGGTCATGTTTACAGATTTTCAGGATCATCGACTGACCCTAATGACCCTTGGTATATGCCACCGGAAACTTATCCGTTTGGACATTATCCCGATTTCACCAGTGGCTCAGGCTACTTGTTGGTTAACCATGGTACCCGATTGTTCAATAAGCTACTCAAAACTTTGTCCACGATACGAACAATCTGGACGGAAGATATTTTCCTAACTGGCCTGGTCGCTGAAAAAGCGGGAATCCATCGGTACCACCATGAGGGATTCAATCCAACCAAAGTGCCCACCGATCAAATTTGCCACTACAAACATCTAATATCCTCTCATAAGCTTAATGAATATGATTTGTCCCAAATTTACACTTCGCTCACTGATCCTAATTTGAATTGTTGACAGTTAATTAAACAACTTTTTTTCTATCTCTCTCTTTGCCTTTTCAATTTAGCTCAATCAAATTAAATATTTTCTCATTGTAATAAAAATTTAATTAACCTTAACAATCGTTAATTGTTGTCTCCTTTTGTTGACTCTTCCAACAATTTATTGTTTGATGAGTTTTTATATTCTCAGTGGATGATGATGATTAGCTTGAAAGCTACTAAATAACAGTTACAATCAATTTAAAAATGCAATTTAGTTGTTCATCGTTGAGACAGTTAAATTAACTTTATGACAACCTGTTGATTTTCAACACTAACTTAATCAATTTCCAAGGTTTTCAAACAATTTACAATCAAATTTGCAAAAGATTGACAATATAAATGATTTTGATCAAATGAATGAAAAAATTTTTTATCAAAATTTATCGATTATAATTGATTATCAAATATTTATTATAATCGATACAAGATATTGGTGTTAATTGTTGTTGATTGTTTCCAAGAGACATTTGATTTAACAGATTAAAAGTTAATTATTGGTCCATTTGATTTTTTTGTGTGAGAAAAATTTAAGTTGATTGTTAACATAATACAAAGAGTTTGAAAGAATCTCAATTGACAATCGATTGGAAACAATTAAAGATCAAAATTAATATTAAAGACCAATTGTTAATTGTCATCTTCTTTATCATCTTCATGATGGAAGATATTTCTTCATGAATTTTGCTCTTCTTTTGCTTCTTGGAACGTTTCTCTTTCCTTTGTTTGAAATTAATCCTCTTTCATTTTGTGTTGATTTTATACTCCAATTGTTTATATGTTTCATTTTAATTAATGATAATAACCAATTGTAATAATTATAATCATAATAATAGTAATAGTAATAAACATTCATCTATAGATGGTGGTCAAGGCCTCAAAATCATTGAGATGGACTAGTAGTTAGATTACTAATATCCCATATCTACAGAAAAGGGGAACAAAATGATTGATTAATATTAATTGTTATCGTCATTTCTAATTAATTAGCAAATTTACCTTAATAACTCTATCGGTACCGGAGGTCATTAAAAGTGAACGAGACTCATCCAGATCCGTGTGCATCATTGAGTGTTTAGTATCATAAGAAGTTGCCAACGATTGTAAACTAAATTATATGATAGAAAAATCAATAATAATTACGAACAATGAAATTGAAATTAACGAAATTAAAACTTACTCTTCATCTGCGATACAACTTTGACATTCATCGCAGATTCTTACTCGAAACTCGAACCCCATGATAGGAATATTACTTCTATTGCTACTACAAGAATCACAAACCGCTTTACCACAGCGACGACAATGATGCTAGAAAAACAATCGAAAGATAATAATTAATAAAGGTAGACACAATTAAGAAGCTATCTAATGAGGTGTAAGAATATAATTAAGAGCCAACCTGCCGTAAGCCGATAGTCTTTTGGTCCAACATCGCTTTTATATTCCAGAAAAATGGTCGGGAACAACGTTGACAATAATCGCTTTCTAACCAATCAGGAGTCTAAAATAAGAAACAAAAAAGTTGATTAGTGACTCGACTCTTTCAAACTAATTGTTAATTATCTTTCTTTAAATTTGTTGACACTACCTCTCGTCTTTTAATGTCCATCCTCCAGAAAACAACTTTAGAGTCTTCACTTGAAGAAATCAAAAGTTTGGCTTGATTGGCAAAACACAGGGAGGTTATTTTACCGCTACAATTAGACAGGAGAAAAAGAAACAAATAATTAACAAATTGTAAAATAATTATCAACAAGAGATACTCACTAGTGTCCTTGAAGTTCATAAGCTGTTCCTCTTTTACCACCAATATCCCAGCAAATGATAACCTTATCATAGCTTCCAGAAAATAGCATTTGCTTTTCTGGATCCCAGGCAAGGCACCGAATGGCATCACTATGACCTTTCAATGTTGTTATTGGTTTATAACTATTTTCCTCCAATTTAAGCATAGTAATTTGGCCAGTATGATCACCGATAAAAGTGTGTTTTGACTGTACATCGAATCTGTTGACAGAAAAAGAAAGTGGAAAGAGATTAGGAAAACAGATTCAATAAGATTCGAACATGATAAAAACAAACTTACTGTAGTGCTGTGCACGAAGAATTGAACTGAAATCCACCAATTCTATTCCCTGTTTCTGAACAATGCCAACAAAAATATTTGTCTTTAGATACACTTAACACCCATTCATGGAATACGGTGAATATAAGTCCAGTAACACGCTCATTATGAGCGATATAATTTCTTTTATGTGTTATTCGGTTATAATCATCTGCTACCAGGAATTCAGAGATGGAACCATTTTCCATTCCAACGAAAAGCCTTTTGGTTTCATGGTTAAAGTTCATTATGGTTCCAGCAGCTGAAAGAGAAAAATAATATTCACAATTAGAGAGTAATTAAAGTTTCACAGAGTTGATAGAATGAAGTTTAGAAAGTCCTAAATAAAAAGAGATTTAGAAGTAAGATCAATCATTTAAATTCTCAATTCCATTCTTTAAATGATAGTAATATATGTTATCCATTCAAGAGAATCATTTGAATGGATAATTAGTAGAGCAACAAGTTTGTATATGAACGAGGAAATTAGTAAATCTACTAATTGTCATAACAAGAAGAGGTACTTAGTTCAGTAATGAACATTTCTGACAGTTAGGACAACGAAAATTTCATCATTGTGATTAGAATGATAACCTTTTCCTTCCCAATATATTGATGCTCATTTTATATTCACTGATTTCATCTTAAGTAATTGTAACAATTGAGCTTTTAAGGGATGAAAGAGAGGTTGTGATTGTGTGAGAGAGAGATAGAAATGGAAGATAAAATTTCCTGTGACTAATATAATCATGAAATGATATTTGTATTAGAAGCAACGTCATCTTTGTTGGTGTTGATTTTTTTTGTGCATTAGAAAGATGAGAAAGGAGAGAGAGAGAGAGACTGAGATTGTAATGGATGAATTGAGAGTGAAGATGATCTTTGGGTGTTTCTGGAAAGGGCTCGACCAAATATGGAACTTTATTAACCTGGCATTCGATGACAAACACTTGGCCAGTAATGTCCAGCATCTCGTTTGAGCCAAATCATGACACTTCTGTAAACAAAAAGAGAAGACAAATTGATAAGATTAGAATTGTAATTATATGTTTACATTGGAAATTGAAGTAAACTCAATAGTTGATTGACATTTACTTGAATTTTTAAAGAGAAAACAAAATTGATTACTAACTTATCTTCACCAGTGCTGATCACACCTTCTTCATTTTTAAGCAGAATAGCAAAATTAACGACATCTTGATGTCCTTCAAGTTTGGCTACCAATTCAAGTCGCTTGTTGGATGAAGCACTTCCAGGGAAAGGTCGTATCTCAGCTGTCATTTTCTGATCGATTGATGGATGATGAAGACAATCAAATTAGTGAGATTAAAGTGTTTTGTTAACAAGAGAGAGAGAGAGATGAGGAATAGAATCGGAAAGGGTAATCAACAATAGATAATTGGGGAATGAATTGTTATAATTTATGATGATAATTGTGGTGAAATATTAGTAATTGTTTTGATAACGATGGTGATGATAAAGAGGAGAAAAATAATAACAACTAATTGTAACACAATCAGAGAGAAAGAAACAATAGAAGGTGAAGAAAATAAATTTGATCAATTAAATAAATCACAGAGTAATTAATTAAGCTGAAGGTAAGTAATTCCACAATAAGTGGAACATAATTATCAATGTTTTGTACAATGTATCCAGGTAAATACTGATGGCTAATCAACCGGGAAGGTAAAGGGGAGTACAATTTAAATTCAGTTATTAGCTAATGTTTTGCAGCTTGGGTGATAATGAAAGTAAACAACAGAGAAAGAGAAATAAAAAGAGGATGAAAGAAAGAGAGAGAGAGAGATGATGATGACAAATAAAGTGAGATAAAATCTCAAACAAGATTATGATGAAAGATGAGAATAGAAAAGTAAAGATGAAAATTCCAATAGTAATTTTGATGGAGAATTTGTAACAATAAGAATGAAAGGAAGAAAAACTTAATTTAAAGAACAAAAAATCTAAAATAATTAACACCACAATCTAATTGAAAGACTTTAATTAATGTAATCAAAATGAAAGAAAAACAAAACAAAATTTTGTTTTGTTTTCAAAAAAAATGTTTACCAAAATTTGGCGCAATTTTCGAAAAAAAATTCTTTTCCATTTTTAATTGATTCTAATTAATTCTAATTGAGAAATAGGTTTTATTTTTTTCGTTTTAAATTGTAACCGTTGTAGGGAATTTAATTAATTGACAATAAATGGATAATATCAATAGTATTTGTGAAAATTCAATGATTAAAGTTTGAAAAGTTTTGTAAAATTTTGGGCAAATTTTTCATTGTTGACGATTTTAATTGTTACTCGTTTAATTAATACATCCTAATTGTTTACCAGTTTCGATGAAGGCATTAACGGCTTTGTTTATATCTTCTTCTGTATGAGAAGCTGATATTTGTACTCGAATTCTGGCCTTTCCTTTTGGAACAACCGGATAACTGAAACCGATCACATAGATTCCTTGATCTGTGATGAGAGATGAAATTTTAGTTGCAAGTTTTAATTAACTTTGATTCCGTTGATAACTTACCTAACATTTTATCGGCAAAAGTAGAGGCCAATTTTGCGTCAGCCAGAAAAACTGGACAGATCGGATGTTCATCACCAAGAATCGTGAATCCAGCGGATTTCATTTGCGATCTAAACGATTGTGTCAACGAAGCCAATTTTTTGGGAAGATCAGAATTTTCCGTTAACATATCAAACACTTCGGAAGCTGAGGCCACAACTGGCGGGGGAATAGAGTTCGAGAAAAGGTAGGGTCGAGCTCTTTGACGAAGTAAATCAATCAACTCCTTAGGTCCAGTGGTGTAACCACCCGCTGCTCCACCCAAAGCTTTACCCAATGTCGAGTTGATTATATCAACGGAACCGTTGAGGTTGAAAAATTCCTCGGTACCTCGACCAGTTGACCCAAAGAAACCGGTGGCATGACACTCGTCAATAAACACCATAGCTCCATACTCTTTGGCAAGAGAGACAATCTCACCTAACGGAGCAACATTTCCGTCCATACTGAAAACACCATCAGTGGCGATTAACTTACGACGAGACCCTTTAGCCGATTCAAGGTGATTTCTTAGATCGTTCATATCTCGATGTTTATATCGATAACGTTGAGCTTTACACAAACGGATTCCATCAATGATCGAGGCGTGATTAAGTTCATCGGAAATGATTGCATCTTGTTCACCCAGAAGAACCTCGAATAGTCCAGCATTGGCATCGAAGCAACTTGCGTATAAAATGGCATCTTCTCGACCATGAAAAGCGGCAATTTTACGCTCCAGGTCACGATGAATATTTTGTGTACCACAAATGAATCGAACTGAACTCAATCCAGCCCCGTAGTCTTTTAAAGCCGTAATCCCGGCCTGAACAACTCGTGGATGACTCTGATGAAGAGAGAGAGAGAGAGTGATGAATTAGTTAGATAATTAACAATCAATTGAAAATCTAATTGTCGATACTCACCGAAAGACCGAGATAATTGTTGGCACAAAAGTTAAGAACCTTTTCCTTTTTACCTTCAATGTTAATCCATGAATTTTGTTCACTTGTTATGATTCGTTCGGTTTTATAAACACCCGATTCTTTAATTGTTTCCAATTCCGAATCTAATGAAGATTTCACCGAAGCCCAAGCATGAAGATTATGACGACAATCAACTAATCCACAAGATCCACTTCTAATCAGTCCTGGAGAAAATAATTAGTTTCAAATTGTAAACAAACTCAGCAATCAAACATTCACTTACCATTGGATGTTTTTGGAAAACTTAACAATCGTTGATGAAAATTTGTAACGATCTTTCTGATGATCATGTTTACCTTTTAATTGCTCATGTATTACAATTAGAAACAAATAGATTTACATGTAAACTGATTGTGAGTAAACAATTAACTCAGACAAGAAGAAGAAAATAATTCAAGGTAACTAATAGAGTTTACTGTTGATCAGAAAAAAAAGAAACAATTTCTTATTGGTTTTCGTTGGAAACTTTTTCTGGTTTATCAACTTTTCCAAACGAAGGGAAAAAAACAAATTCAAGATTATTATTAAATCATCTTCCATTTGATTAATCATCATAATGATGATTTACCTTGAGGCAAGATGATTAAAACCTTAGTAACAACATAACCATTTAAATTGACCATTCAATTGATTCTCAATGTTAATTGTGTTGATCAGATGATTTTAAATGATGAAGACAAAATTTTGAGATTTGAATTTTCATTAAGATTAGAATTGTTTTCACTTTAATTGTATCAATAGGTTTAGATTAAAATGATTAGATTTGCGAAAGGAAAAACAATTAAGATTATCAGTTAATTTTCACAGTTATCTTGTTGATTGTTTACAATTAATTTGGAATCAAACATTTAATTATCCATAAAGTTGGTTCACGAATTATTCCAATACTAATATGGAGACGACTTAATTCAAGTCCACCATAAGAGTCGATTATTTTAATTATTGGACAATTAACGAGTTCGTGGGATAATTTACAGAATTTAGAATCTTGATCAGTTGAAATAATCGTGTTCAATGGTTGGATTATTGTTTCTCCGTTCGATTGGCCTGAAGGATGCGATCGACAATTCAAATTGAAAAATGAACCATCGACACGGTCAAGTATAAAATAGATCACTTTAAAGTCAAAATTTTGTCCATCATTTTTGGTCCGTTTGTTTTTGTTTCGTTCATTTGAATCAAATTTATTGTGATACTTTTGTAATCGTTGATCTTTAATTGCCAATGTGTAAATGTCGGACGATGTATCGTAGGTGATGCCGTTTATTTGAAGGAACCGAGTGTAACCCGTTTCGACTGTGCGTTTACCCAAGTAAACACCAATCTCCTGAGGCTCAATTAGCGGTAACTCTGTCTGTTTAATGTGCTCATTAAGCCAAGCAACGGCTTCCCCGCCAGGGTAACAATGACAAGTAGTGGACGCATAATAAAACACAGCGATTGCATTGGCGAGAAACTGAAAGGTCACTAATGCCGCAAGAACTGACCCAAAGTGTGAAGCCTCACTATGGATTATACTATCAGTCTCAATGGGAATCCGTTTTGGTCTAATTGAGGTGGACTGGTCATCCGATGTTTGATCATCTCGATGTGTGTTACAAGTTGTCACACTTTTATGGCCTGTCAAAGCTTTTCTCAGGCCACCACGTCGACGTAAAAAATTGGTTGGTGAAGATTGAATTGGTTTTCGTACTCGCGGTGATTGATTAAGTTGTAAATGAACATCTGATGTTAATGGTGTTTCTTCAGGACTTTCCAGTGGTGAGGAAGAAGCCGTTGATGTGTACGGCGGTGGTCCCAAGGCCAACCATTCGGCCGGAGCTAATGGTTCGTATAAATTAACTGAATCATTTCTAGATCGGTCGATTGTAATATTATCCCAAAATGAATCTCGATTTTTTTCCAGTTTTTCTTGGTCGTCCATCTTTTTCTCTTCAGCTTCGAACTCTTCCAAAGAAGTGACCTGATATCCAAGTTTCCGACGTATGAGATAAAGTAACCAACTTTCCGTGTGTGGTTGCAAGGTGAAAAAACGATAGAAACTAATGGCGATCGCATTAGCGGCACAGGTATTCAATAACGGGTAACAATAGATGACCAGGTCAAAGTCCTTGTAGTTGCACAATGAGCATAGTACGAGGTAAGAGTAGGAAACCATGAAGGCACTTTTAATGCATCGTCGAGAGGCAAATGGTACAAATATTATGCTGAATAAAAGGTATCGAGGTAGTGCAATCAAAGTGTACCAGGTGAGTGTTGAAAATCCGAGATCGATTGTCGATCTGTTCAATAGATCTTTGAACAGTTTCGATTGAGACCAAACGTACTCACCCCACATGTACGAGTCTAATAAACTCGTGGTAATAAATGTCAAGTACGAAACTGACGCACACATGATGATTGACCTTCCAAGGGGCATAGTTTTCCGAATGACCAGTGAATAAAATACCATTGGAATAAAGAGTAAAATTGTCACCGAGTGAAAGCCGACAACAGTTATTGTGGCCAAGGCAATAAAGGTCATATTCCGTCGGGAAAACCATGAAGCCGTTGTGACGAGAACCATAAACATTGACAAAGAATTGGGTACAAGTCGAGATAAATTGAAGAGAAAATAAAATTGGGACATCGTTAAAAAGGTCAGTACACTTGTTGTATGATGGCCAAATTTTCAGTCACAGAACTACAATAAATAGCGAAACCGATTAAGGTCACAATGGAAACGCTTAGACGGGTCATCGATTGTAGAAACAATTTATCAAATGTCCGCTGGTAAAATGACCAGGGAAGAGTAAAGAAACTTGTAAGATAAGGTCCAATCATCGATTTGTGATCAGGTTCTAATGGTACGAAAAAAGAAAATGTATTGATCGATTATCGATTTGGTGAGATAATTAATTACTCGAGTAATTTTAATTAACTTACTTGGATGATCTTTGTAGTCCCAAGTCCAACCATCGTAATCATAATTATGGAAATTGTTGATCGGCTGTTTGTTGAACTTTAATTTCAACGGGAATTGTGGGTCAATACTAAAGTCAATTGTTCCATTGATTAGTTTACTCGCAATGTCCAAAGCTCGAGGTATTCCGAGAAAGGTGAAGTCAAAGATCACTTGGACATCGAAATACGATCCAGGTCCAGTGTAAGGGAATAGAAAAAGGTAAACAAAGGTCAAAACGGTAAGTCCAAAAAACTGAAGTCCACGAGAAGCGATTAAAAAGTTGACGATAATTGTCATGATTAGAGAATTAAAAAAGATTAATGATTAACTGTAATTAAAAGTGATTAATGTTGTTGTCCAGGTTAAAAAGGTTAAGGGTCAAGTGTGGGCAAAAAATTGAGTCTTTATTAATACCCTTTCAAGAGTAACAATCAACTGATTAATTTGATTGATTTGCAAATCAAATCAAAGTTAAAATTACAATAAGTTTAGTTTACAACAATTAGTTAACCAATTACATTAGATTGTCATTGAATTTGAATTTTAAGCAGGTTAATCAATGATCAACAATCAATTTATTATTCAGAAACAATTTAAATGTTTTAAATATAAATCAAAATTAACAGTTAATTAATTAGCCAAAGTAATTAAAGTAACAAAAAAAGTTTTCTGAAAACTTTTTCACTTTCAAATTTTGATCAATCAATCAGTCAATTAATTTGATGATTTAAAATATTTTCTGCTCTTAAATCAATTCTATTGATGATTGTTAGTTGATTCGCAATTTGTTGATGACAATTTAGATTATTAATATTTGATTGTGATTAGTAAATTGAAGATCCCTCGTAAAATGAAAATGGGTTGATACAAATGGAAAAGTAAGAGATTTGATTTGTTGATTTACTTTCATATTGTTGTTGGTTTACAATTTGTTTCCATTGTTAAATTACACTTTGATTTTACCTTATTATTGATTGTTGTGTCCAAATTACTTAATAATCGTAAATTATCTCGAATCAAAATGTCGGAGGTAGAAGATCAAAAGTCGATATCAACCGAAGCCGATGCCAATCTAAAAAGCGATGAGAGTGAAGAAGGTAAATTAAATTTTCTTATTCATTTTGGTTTATTCTTAATTCTCATTCTATCAACAAAGTCTAATCTAATTTGGATTGTATTCCCTTTGTTTTAATTGTGTTCCATGTATTCTAATCTAATTGTATTTCGGTCCAATTTTTCTTACAGAAAAGGAGATTGTCGAGGTCGAAGATCGAGCCTCCGTTGAAGAGATGCGAAATTTTCTCGCTCCAGATCAATCGTGTGTCGATCTGAACCACAGTCGGATACGACAGATCGACGGATGTGAAATGTTGGAAAAATGTGAAATTCTTGGCCTACGAAATAATCTCATCAAAACGATCGAGAATCTTGAAAGTTTAACATTACTCCGAGAATTGGAATTGTATGACAATCAAATAACCAAAATTGAGAATCTCGATAATCTCGTTAATTTAGAGTAAGTTAATCACATAGAGAATTTAAATTCTATTCTCTATCATGATCCAATATTAATTGTGAATATTTTTCTTTCATTTCAATTTTAGGACATTGGATCTTTCTTTCAATAGAATTTCGAAAATTGAAAATTTAACTTCATTGGTTAATCTTAAGAAGCTTTACTTGGTTAACAATCGGATTACTAAGATTCAGAATGTTGATCATTTGGTTAATCTCGAAATGTTGGAACTTGGTGGAAACAGAATTAGGACCATTGAGAATCTTGATGGTCTCAACAATTTACAATCTCTTTTCCTTGGTAAAAATAAGATTACTAAATTACAGAATCTTGATAAATTGGTTAAACTGAAACTTCTTAGTATCCAATCAAATCGTCTTACTAAGATTGAAGGATTAAATGGATTAATTAACTTGGATGAGATTTACTTTGATCATAATGGAATCGAGACCATTGAAAATTTAACTAACAACGTTAATCTTACACATTTGGATATTGCCAATAATCGTATCGTTAAATTGGAAAATATTGATCATTTGATTAATTTAAAGGAATTGTGGGCCAATGATAATCAAATTGAATCCTGGAAAGATTTGGAAATATTGAAAAATTTTCCTCAATTGGAAACCGTTTATCTGGAACGTAATCCAATCTCAGCTGATCCAATGTATCGGGTGAAGATTAGTCTTATTAATCCAAATATTAAGCAAATTGATGCTCTTTTGTGTAGAAATCAATCATAATCAATTGATCATTGTTACTAATTTTACTTCATCTCATTTAACCAAATCAACGGCCATTTTTTTCCAAGCCTTATAGTTGATACATTCACGATTATTATTATTATATTATTCATCTGATTCTCAATCTCAACAACTTAATCATTTATTGGAGAGAAGAGTTAAAAATTGATTCTGTTTCTTATTCATTTCAAATAAAATCAATTATGTATAACAAAATTAATTGTTTAAAATAAATGGATTTGATATTGAAATTAGTCAATATTCATTCAACTGGTTTGTTGTTGTTGACAATTTTTTTTTGCCTTGTTGATTGATAGTTAATTGATCACATTGAAGACAAGGCTTTCCTTGATTGTCTGTACATATGAGACAATAAAAGATATGATACTGGAACAATTAACAGATTTAAATATAATCTACATAAAGTTGGTAAATGGAATGAAAAATTTGCTTGATTGGGTAAAGAGATTGACCATTTTCCTGAAGTTTCCAATAGATTTACTGAGTAATAGATTGTAATTGCTTCCAAGATGATTCCAGAAGGTAAGAGAGGAACCCAAATTGTGTATCGAAGGAAAGTAATTAACTTAATTTTAAATCCAACAATTGAGGTTAAGTAAAATGAATAGCGAAAGATTTCAATTGCTGACCAGACCAAAAGTAACCAAAGTACAAACCATTGACCATGTTGAGAGGTGAAACAATTGATACACAAATGAAGGATTAAATTGCGACCACCAATTTGTACTAACGGAATCAACGGAGAACCACGAGTTAGACCAATCAAGGTGTGAACAATTTCAATTGATTGTAATCCTTGGAAGAAAATAAATCTCGTTGAAATTGTTGAATAAATTTGCTTCCCAGTGATTAAACCTTTCGGTTGATCGGAAAAAAGTGAATGACAAAGGTAATAAACAACATTGGAAAATCCAATCAATTGAATCAAATTGTAACCAAATAAATAGATTGTCGACAATCTAACCAATGGAGGTGATTTAGGGCTCATGTTAGTTAACTGCGAAAACGATTAATTTAAATTAGAATGACAAATAGAAATTAAAACAATAGATAAACAAAAAACATAAATTCTTTTAGATGAAAAAAAAGTCAATCATATGTTTAAGAGAAAAGAAAGAGAAAAGAGACTGAGAGAGTTAATTGTCTTCGTAATTAAGAATCGAGTGATTGTTTAAGAGTAGATAATTTTTCTTAATCAGTATAGATTAAATCTCTAATTAGATTGAGATTAAATTTATCTTTTCGTTTTCTATTTACATGAAAATAAAATGAAAATCTAAATTCTTGTTAACACATTTTGAAAAAAGCGCGAATTCAATTGTTTAGTTTTCTTCATTTTGTCCAATCAACTTTACTCTTGATTTTGATTTGTTTTCATTTTTATTTTACTAATTAAATGTTTCTCAATTGTTTTAATTGCTTGTAATGGATTATGAATTTAAGATTAAATTAACTCAAGAAAGAGCAAAAGTTGAAGATTTTTTTGAATATGAAGGATGTAAAGTAGGAAGAGGGACTTATGGTCATGTATTCAAAGCTCATAGGAAAGATGGGTAAGTAATTTTGATTCATCTTCTTATTTAGAATTTTGTTTTTTTTTCTTTGTTCTTTTTTCTTTCTTAATTGTTTTCGAATTTGACTTTTTATTCTTTTTACTGATTGACTTTTCTAAATGTTTCTCTTTCTCTTTTAGGTCTGATAATGAAGATTATGCTCTTAAACAGATTGAGGGAACAGGAATCTCCATGTCTGCCTGTAGAGAAATAGCAGTAAGTGTAAAACCTTTCAAATTCAATTGTTGGCTAACCTTATTTTTTTGTTCTCTTTCTTTTTTTCCCTTCAATATTTGAATAATTTAGTTATTGAGAGAATTGAAACATCTAAATGTAATTAATCTTCAACGTGTATTCCTATCACATCATGACAGAAGAGTTTGGTTACTTTTTGACTATGCGGAACATGATCTTTGGGTAATTAACCTTTTTCTTTTCAAAGTTTAACTGTCTCATCATCAATAACTGTTTTTCCCTTTTCTAGCATATAATCAAATTCCATAGAGCAGCTAAAGCCAATAAGAAATTAGTTAATCATCCCAAAGCAATGGTTAAATCACTATTGTATCAAATTCTTGATGGAATTCATTATCTACACACTAATTGGGTTCTTCACCGAGATTTGGTAAAAATGGCTCTTCGAAAGGATGAGAAATGAGTTGTAAATGTTTTCTTTTCGTATTGTCTATATTTTATCAACAGAAACCAGCAAATATTTTGGTCATGGGAGAAGGACCGGAACGAGGACGTGTTAAAATCGCTGATTTGGGATTTGCTCGACTTTTCAATGCTCCATTAAAACCTTTAGCCGATTTAGATCCAGTTGTGGTTACCTTTTGGTATCGTGCTCCTGAACTACTTTTAGGTGCTCGTCATTATACCAAAGCAATAGACATTTGGGCAATTGGTTGTATTTTCGCTGAATTATTAACATCAGAGCCAATTTTCCATTGTCGACAAGAAGATATTAAAACGAGTAATCCGTATCATCATGATCAATTAGATAGAATTTTCAATGTAATGGGATTTCCACAGGAAAAAGAATGGGAAGACATAAGAAAAATGCCAGAATATCAAACACTTCAAAGAGATTTTAAAAGAACCAAGTAAGTTTCGAAAAGAAAATGAAAACTTTTATCATAATGATTATCAATTTTATTTGTTTCCTCTCTATTAACTTCTATTCAAATTGATTCTTTTTCTTTCTTAAATCAGTTATGCCAGTTGTTCACTAGTCAAGTACATGGAGAAACACAAAATTAAGCCTGATAGTCGAGCATTTTTACTTCTTCAAAAGCTTTTACTCATGGATCCAACCAAAAGAATAACGTCTAGTGTAGCGATGCAAGATTCCTATTTCTCTGAAGAACCACAACCAACCGGAGAGTAAGTTAATCTAATATTTTCTCGAACTTTAACTCACCAAGAAAATTAATCATCGCATTTATTTTATCATGATTGTTTAAAGTGTTTTCAATGGTTATCCTATTCCTTATCCTAAACGAGAGTTCCTTAACGATGATGACAATGAAGAGAAACCTGATAACAATAAGGCTCAAGCCAATAATCAGCAAGCAAATCATGGGGATAATAATCATGGACCACAACCAAATAAACGCGTTCGTATGGCGGGTATGGGTGGACCAGGGGGTCCAGTCCAACAATCAAATATGCCCAACCAGGGGCATGGAATGCAAAATCAACCCAACTTACAATATGGAAATAATAATGGTCAACCAATGAACAATAATTTCCAACAAAGATATTGATGAGAGAAAAGTTTTTCTCTTTATTTTAATTCCAAATTATGTTAATAACTCATAAATATTTATATATTTCATCATATTGAAATTACGACCAACGATTTGGAAAAAATCATCGGATAACCACTAGACACATTAATCTATGGATTAAATTTGGTCTCAATGAAGAAAATATTATCTCTTCATTAGAGAGATATTGTAAAACTACAAAATTATTTACACAATGGAAAAGAAAAATTTCAACGAAAATTCTGATGATGATTTTACTTGGCCGGTAAATTTACAGTTTACAAAATGATAGAGAGAGAAAGAGACAATTTCGGACAAATCGAAATCATCTTCTTCACTATCGCGATTATCTTTAGTTACAGTCGTTGACTTCAGCTGACGATCTCACGGGTTCAATCCCAAGTTAATCAACCTTCAAGGTTACAATAGTCTACAATCTTCATTTGAGTCTTCATCTGAATCTTCATCAGAATTTGAGTCGGAAGATGAACCTTCTTTAATAGTTGTATCATAAAACAGTTTAATACCAGCGGCAATTCTTTCGGCTATTCTCGGGCTATGTTTTCGAAAAGCTCTTGGACAGTAGCAAAACAAGCATCCATATTTCTTTTTTGCACTGGTGTTAGTTTCATCTTTCGTTTAACGGGAATCAGTACCAATTCTTTCAGCTCATATTCATCTTCACTATCAGGCTGCCTGTGGGTATCTGTCTGGTCGGTTGATACATTTGGTAGAGTTGTGGCTAATGTAGTTGGAGATGGACCTGGTTGATTCGAAAAAGATTCTATTTCAGCCGGAGGGTCAGTTATATCATTTGGAACATTGACCTCATGGGCTTTGGGCTCATCTGGTATTGTGTGAATATCGCTTGGAGGAGGAGGTGAGTCATTTGAAGACATAGCCTTAAACTTGGGATTTGCTTCGATTGTCACTGGTTAAACAAAAATATGAAGAATTGATTAGTAGTAATTAGTAGGTAAAGGAAAATTGAAGAGAATCAGGCAAATTTTAATCCACAAAATCCACAATAACTTGATACTAGATGAGGTAACTGCAGAAAATAACAAGAATTTCTGAAAAAATTGAATATTCTTTTCCTTGAAACTTTTTGTTACTATTTCATTGATCGTTTTCATAAACTAAAATAAATTCACTAATTAGAGTTGATGAAAGCTTAAACTTTTCCTCTCTAATTATTTAGGCTCAAGTGTCTGATTGTCCAAATATTATCTGTCATTTAAAAGACAATCTTCAATCTTACTCCAGGAAAAGTTATGTTGACAAACAAGTAAACTTGTAAACAAGATAAATGGTCATTCCACTTCTTGACCGAAGAAAACTATCATTTATTGGCTAAATAAACTGATTTCGTTTTTTTAATTGACAGTAATTTGTTTTGAACACTGTTCAAAGAGTTTTATCGATTGGATCGATCATGTTTGATGTTCCCTGTGGATACATGTGAGACCAAAATTCAACGGGATAAAAGTCGGTGGGTGGCTGACGGAAACCTCTATTTTAGTAGGAAAAAAGACCCGCCATTGGTTGGTCACATAGCCCATGTTTTTGAAAGAATCCCAAACGAAAGGTAAACCGCCATCCCAGTCAGTAAAGCCATAGAATTGGGGAAAGAGTTTTTTTTCCTCAACTCGAACAAGAAATATCATCTCTTTATTAAAGAGATATTATAAAACAAATTTAATGTTATTTACACAATGGAAAAGAAAATTTTCAACGAAAATGAAAATGATTTCACTTAATTTTTCGATAAATTTACAATTTACAAATGAAAGAGAAAATTGATTATTTGGTTTCTTGAGTGATTGATTTCGCTCTCCATTTGGAGAAAACATTAATTTCGGACAAATCTAAATCTTCTTCCTCATCTTCACTATTGCGATTATCTTTAGATTCATTTGTTAATTTTTCTTTCAATTTTTCAGCTTTAACTTGTAGTTCATTCACTTTAGCCCATTGATTGATTTGTTCGTCAACTTCCTCATAGTCTCGATCAATTTGTAATTCTTCCAGTGATTCTTCAACCATTGTCTCTGCTTTAATTGTCTCAGCGACAATTGTTTTCTTAAAAAGGTCCATCTCCTCTTCCAATGGATCCTTGAAAGGAGTATTTCTTATTTTCGCATCAACTTTAGGATCATCGAAAAATCCTTTTGGAAGCTCTTTAGGTGGAGATGGAATTGGATCATTGTCACTTATATCAACTGTTCCATCCTTACGATCACCATCATCAGTAGCAATCAATTTAACTTTTTCATTTTCTCCAATTGTCTTTTTCCTCTTCTCAATCACTGAACAGTCGATCAATTGTTTCCTCTTCATAGGAACAGAAATTTTACCAGAGGCAGATTTAGAAGCCATCACACCAAATATCCAATTAAATCGATTATAATCTAGAGAACAAAAATTACAAACAAAAGAAACTTAATTAAAGACAAAAAGTCAAAAAGTAAACAAAACAAAATAATTTAAGAATTTACTTTGTCACAATAAACAAGAACAACACAAAAAGATTAGAGAAAAAGTCTCATCAATAGCAAGAACATAATATAAAACCAATATTCTTAATTACAATATAAATCGAGAAATTTTGAGCAACAATTAAGAAAATCACAATTAAGAGACAATTGGAAATTGATGCAAACATAAACATAAGATTTTAATTTGGAAACTGAAAATTATGATTCATACATTTACTTTCTTTTTTTGGCGCGAAATTTGAGTTGAAGAAAATTTTTTTTTTTTGATCAAACAATGGAAAGTGATTAAACTAATTAGAAATTATTGTTTTTCCGTTTCAATTATAGTTAAATTAGATTAAGTTTATTAATATTGGAAATCACTAAATTGGTTTATTTTTTGGTTGGCAATTGATATGATGTTACATTTAGAATACAATTTGGTTGCTTGGAGATTTTTGTAACAATTAAGCGAAAATGTTTAACAATTAATTTCTCATGTTACAGGAAAAAAAAGAGACTCAAACCTGATTATAAATCAGGAATGTTTTCCCATTGATTAATAATTAGGATGATTAAATAGTTTCAGGTAACTACAGTATTTTTTGATGATGAAAATGCATTGATGATTGTTGATTGTTGTTATGATTTGATTTTTTTGTTTGCTTTCTGTGTTGTTTTTGGTAAGTTTTAACTTTCGATGATTTAAATTAAAATTATTGTCAATTAATGATAATTATCATTATCATTATCATTATGCCATTTAGAAATTGTGTCAATTGGTTATGCTTCTCGTTTTTATCACAATTAATCAGGTGAAAAATCAAACTATTGTAACGTTAACATTTTTCAGTAAATGATTAACACAAAGTAATTTAGTTAAGTATTTAGAGTACGTTGAAGATTTTAATTTATTTGCTGGATCATAAAGTGTCCATTGACTCCAACGATCTTCGGTTGTATTTCTCCAACGATAAATTGTCCCGGTAATCACAGCGTGGCTTGGCCTTACATCGATGGTTAAATTGACTCTTTCATATGTAGACCAGGTTTCATTTGATCGTGGATAATAATACTAAATCAAATTGAGAAAAAGTTAATCAAATTAAATCAAATCAGTGGTTATTTTTGCATAAACAAAATGTAAACAAATCAATCAGTCAACTATAATTGGGTGTTGAGAAAGTGTCACAATAAACATTAATCTGTTTACAGAAAATTAAACAATAATCAGAATTAAATTGTTGACATAATTGGTTTGAGGGATCAAACTAAATCAAATTAATGTCTAACTGTAAAAGGAACAAATAATATAATAACAATGGTAACAATCAATCAACAATCAACGGTCGACTTGGTTAACTAATCTATTAGAAATTGCCATTCTATTCCCTATTATTAGATGTGACATATTGATACTTAAGGAAAATTACACTTTAATCAATGGCAATTTGATCACGAAAAGTTAATCAAAAAGTTAATTATGATAATTAACATAAGTAAACTAACCTCTCCGGCTAATGTTTTACCATAGGTTATTCTTGATCGACATTTATTTTTCTGGAAAATGACTCGTAATCCATCAACTAGACCTTTAGCTGCATCAATATGATGAGATTTTAATCTGGGATTAATCCCAACTCGACCATTACAGGCACAGTAGATCGGATTAACATTGGCATCGTCGCAGGTTCGAGAAATGGGAACCTCTTCACGAAACAATGAGTAGGCTACAGGTATTTCCTTTCGTCGTCCAATTGGATTAAAATTACCTTCATTAAAAGATATTAAACAATTTATAATCGATAATTTATCATCTCAATTGATCAATTTTCTGTTAACATCTCAAAATCTGATAATTGATCTTTTTATCGAAATAATTATCTAATATCTAAGAGAGGGAATAAGGGAATTAAGATAATTAAAATATCGAAGACTCAAAGAATCACGAAGAAAAAAAAAACTTTTTCTCTTCAACTAATAATCGATTCGAATCTACTAACAGTATATGAAAATAGAAAATAACATAATAATATTGATTAGTGGACTAACCATGAGTATGATTAAGTTTCATGCTGATTTTTCTAGTCTCTCTCTCTCTCTCTTTCTCTCTCATTGAAAACCTATTATCTATCAAGGTAGCAGAATATTAATGATACAATATAATGAAGGTAAAAGAAAAAAAAATCGAGACATGTAATAGCATTAGTGGTGAAAAGGCTAATCGATAATAGTTCTCATCATCTTCTCGAATGACAAGTTAAACTGATTATCTGAATTGTAAGCAAACAATTTAGTTAAAGTTATTATTATTTACTCGAATGTTTCCCTTAATCTTCAATTATTACAATCAATTGACTTTTTCTTTCGATAGTCACTCCAAAATATGAATAGAAAATGAATAAATATAAACATTACTATTACCAAATCAATGGAAAGTTGAATATCGAATATCAATCAATCAAGTATAATAGAAGAGTATTGAATCATTAAAGTTATAGTTCAATTATAAGCGAGAAAAACAAAAGTTTATCATCTCGATTATCATTATGATTCCAGAAACGTTTCAACTGTACTATTTATGGAGAAAGGGTTATTTACCTTGAGCAACGTCCAGAAGAATCTGATGAATATCGAACCAGGTAGATAAACGATCTTCATTAAGTGAAAGGTATTTTCTTAGAAGAGGAAATTTAATGTCCAGAGAATCGGGAATTCTAATTGCAGCAAACGGAAGACTACCTTCGAAACGTCCCATAGGTGAATCGGTTGGATCACCGGCTGTAGGTGTTACTTGACCTACACGAGAACCATGATCACCCATAACGATGATTATTGAATTATCCAGAACTTGAGTTGATAGAGATGATATAAATTGAGCCACAGGTTTATCGACTAGTTGAAAATTATTAAAATCTTCATGTGTCATTTGACTATAAAAGGCATACAAAAAATATGGATTCTGTTGGTGGACTAAAACGTTTTCCACAAATTTGGAGCACATATTCAAATACATTTCTACCTTGGGACCAACTTTCTCGAAACAATAATTTATCGGATCAACTAGTAAATCGATCATGTTTGATGTTCCCTGTGGATACATGTGAGACCAAAATTCAACGGGATAAAAGTCGGTGGGTGGTAGACGGAAACCTCTATTGTAGTAGGAAAAAAGACCCGCCATTGGTTGGTCTTCAAGAAAAGCGGTCACATAGCCCATGTTTTTGAAAGAATCCCAAACGAAAGGTAAACCGTGATCCCAATGGACACCGGGAACCGCGGAAGCTGCATCATCGGTAACCGCCATCCCGGTCAGCAAAGCCATAGAATTAGGGAAAGAGTTTTCCTCAACTCGATTTAATGATTTTAAATGATGAAATTTACCAATTTCGGCAAGAACTTTTTTAGTGGAAGACATGAATCTTTCATAACTTAAACGACCAAGAGATTCAATTACTAGTATAAGAACGGAAGGTTTAATATCATAAGTAGATGGAGAAGATGATGAAACATCAAAATTGGGAATACGAAAATGAATATTGCGATAGATAGTTTGATGAGTTATTCGATTGGTACAACTGGTATTAACGGCGACAACATTTCTTTCAAATTGAACACCTCCAGGAGATGGAATCAATGTAATCGGACCATAAGAAACAGCACCATCTGAACCAGCTCGATTTACCCAAGAATAGAAACAATCAACAGGAGTATTGGCATGACCATCAGGATTTTGGACAATTAAACGATCGCCCGGACTAGTTATGGCAGTTAATTGGTGGGGTGATTGGGGACAATTTAATGACTTATTTGTCAAGTAGACTAATATTGCAGGATCAAAGGGATCAACATAAGGTAATACACATCCTGGTTTGGTTTCATTATTGTAACCATTTTCCTCTGGATTACCGTTAATCGCTCTGGGAAAACAGAAATTTGTTTTAACCAAATGAGTGAAAACATCATCAAATGAAACGTTGGCGATTAAAACAATACCGGTAAGAAGTAAACATATTAAACTGAAAAGAGTTGAGACTTTTCTTCTACCCATGGAAATTCAAAAATGGATCAACTTATTAACTTAATGTAATCCAATTGGTCTGATTGAAATAATCAATTCTCTATAAACCAAGTGAATGATCATTTGATTCATTTACTGGTTATTATTGATTTTGGTATAACAGAAATGAGAAGAACGTCTGTTCCAAATGATAGATGATGAATTTGTCAGGGCAATTTTACATGGAGACGATTGTATAGATGGAAGAGAGAGAGAGAGAGAGATAGAAATTAGAGATTATCTCTGGTTTTCCAAACTAAGATACTGGTAAATTCCAGTGAATATGTTGTTTAATTTGTGGATCCAAAATGGCGATGAGAGGGATGATTAATAAGGTTAAAGATTTCCAGAGGTTTAAGATGAATAGACCAGTAGATTTAACCGTTTTTTCACTAATGTAGAGCCCATGTAACTGATAGAATTAGGTATAGATGAAATGGTAACACAGGGAGAATTTGATTCTCATAATCACAGTGGTATTAAGGTATGAATGTGATAAGTGAAAGAATTGATTGAACAGGTAAATAGAAGAAGAGAAAAGAATAACTGAAAACAAGGAAAAACAGAAGCTCGTAAGAGATTTGGAGCAAACAAACAGGGATTCGGTGTCATCAGTTAATTTTCATTATAGAATTAAATTCTATATTGATAATTGACCAAAAAATGAAATAATTAAAACACACAATATAAGAGAAAATTGATTAAAATAAATAAAATTGGTGATGAAAATGATTATGTGTCATTAAAGCTTAAAAATAACTAAAAGGTTAACAAGCAACAGAAAAGCAAAACAATCACATTAAAGAAAAAGTGTCCAACATGGAAACAAGTCAATTAGCGAGAATTAAATTACATTTTTAAATTAAACAAAGCAAAATAATAAATAATAAACAATTGGTGAACAATTAAAAGTGATTTTTGTAAACACAATTAAAAATTTTCGAGTTCAAATCGACCAAGAAAATGTTTTTCTTAAGCTCTAACAGCGACCTCAGGGGAGGCTTCGATCAACTAAAATTCGTCGTATTCGGTTGCGACTATGTAGGGATAGGGAAAAGGTACAAGGAAGGGAATTGTAATTAATAACAAATTTTCTCCCCTGAGGTCGAAATTAGTCAGGAGATATCAACTAACAATTAAGGCACAGCTAAATGGACAGAACTTCTGTTCGGCTTAAGCTTAACATGTTCTCCATGGACAAAAGTCCTTTCAAAGCAAATGTCAGAATGAAGCGATTATCTTAAGGTCCAAAAAGATTAGTTCGTTAGTTATAACTCGAAAGAATGAAAAAAGAAAATTAGAATTTGAAACTTTTAAAATGTGGAAACAATTATCATCTTGTGGTAAGAAAATACACTAATTCGAATTTTTCTCTAACCGATATTATTGAGGTTCTGATCTAAATCAAGTGCTGCAATTTTCTTCCCGCAGGCCAATTTACCGAACATCAATTCCGTGGGTATTGCATTGGGTGTGATGAGTTTATACCTTCGTTGAGCTGATACTCCAGTTCGCAAGTTAATGTCTAACGAATTAGCCCTCGAGGTGTTTCAAGTAGATTTTGATTCTGACGATTTATTGGAACCTTTTTATTTTCTGGTTAAATTATTTTGATCGTCGAATTTTTTAATTGTCAAATTGCTATTCAACCTCATCCATCGAGATTCATAATATGGGTTAAGTTATTTCTTCAGATTTTCTCATCAAAACAAAAGTTTTGCTCTTTTCGCTTGAAATTTAACTTAATTGTAATTTAACTTTTCGAAAATCAACTTGTAATTAAGTAAATTGTTCATTTAACTCATTCTTTCAATATTAAACAACAATTAGAAGAGAGTTTGTATTCTATTGTCCTATGGAAGAGAGAAAGTTGGATGTTCGAAATCTTATTAGTTAATGAAAATTCGATATTTTGTTTAGTTCAACAATCTGACGATTTAATTGTTTTATTTAATTCGTTGATTAACGCGGGCAAATTGACGACCGTCCTTTTATTTTTCTTGATTGCTGTTAATTAAACACAGAAATTGGATTTACACGCGACTTGTATCATTATAAAAGGAAGATAAAGAATCTTAAAAGCGTTTTTCTTTCCATAGGCTTGTATAAAATCCTTATACTAATTAACGGTGATTAAACTAATTCTCACAATTATTTTCTCTTTTTTAGTTTTGTCTCTCTAAATAATCATCGCAACAAAATTGTTAAACATTTATCAGAAATAATGATGTTTTTGCGAGTGAGAGAGAGAGGAGAGAGAAATAGGAAGATAGAAATAGACAGAGAGAGAGAGGAGAGAGAGAGAGAGAGGTGTTGATGAAAGAAATTAAATTCTTGTTGATTGTCATTGGCTCCGATAGAAAGATGAATGATTGAGTAGATTTGCCAAAAATAACGAAGTGTATGATTGTTCACCTTAAAACATACAAACACAATTAGAAAAAGAAATTTAAATTGTCTCATCAAATTGATTTGTTTTTCTTGATAAATCATTTGCTTTACACAAAGTGATAGATCCCAATTAGTGTAACACTAGTTAAGCAGAAAAAAATGAAATCATTTTAATTAAGGACGCGCTCCAAAAAAGATGAGATAGAGAGAGAGAGTTGGTAATTCTTTGAATGTTGATTTGTTTAACTTCTGGTTGTTGTTGTTGTTGTTGTTGATAAAGGTAATTATTGGTGTTATTGTTGACGTTGTAGTGTTAATTGTTGTGGTGGTGGTTTTGGTGTGTAATTTTTTTAGATTTAGTTGTTTTTTAATTTCATTTGTTTTGCTGGTTTTCTTTTGTTTTGTTGTTGTTGTTTTTGTTGATAAGGTTGATTTTATATTATTTGTTTTTAGTTGGTTAATTTGTGACTTTTTCAACTTCTTTAGAAGAAATTATTTCTTGATTTTTTATATTGATTGGAGGTGGATTGTTGGTACTATTTTCCACCAATGTTGATGATGTTGCCTCCTTGTTTGAGAGTCTTTGCTTGTTATTTGAGTTTCGATTAGATGTGTTACCATCTCTTGGTTGTGATCGCCTATTATCCATCATACCACCGGAAAATCTTCTACCAGATCCTCCACGAGATCGAGAATTACGAGATCTTTCATTTCCACCTCCCCCGCTTCCACCGCCACCACCAGCTTCTCTACCACTATTGTTACCTCTATCATGATTGGTTCCACCCCCACCACCTCCTCCACGATTTCCTCTATCAGTTCTATCTCCCCTGTCATTGATCCTTTGACCACGTGGACCTCGTCCACTTGTATCTCCGGTTACTACATAAGTGCCGATATCACCGCCACCAGTCCTGTTTACTGTTCCAGTACCAGGTAATGAGGTGGGTTGAGATGAAGCAGCATTGGATGATGAAGAGTGTGGCACATCTCGGTTACGCAATTGTAGAAAAATTTCTAATTTCTCTTTTCTGAATTTTTCCATCTCTAAAAGATGTGAAAGATGATAATCCAACAAAATTTTTGCATTCGCAATCGATTCTGTGGTTCCAACAAAAACGAATGGTACATTTTCTCGAGGTGGCTCATTTTCACTATCACCTTCAACCTTAACCCGAACAACACCAGATTTATCAACAATCTCCTGGATAACTTTACCATTACGTCCAATTACTTTACCAACTAAACTTCGAGGTACTTCGATAGCTTTCTCAGCATATTCCAAGATGTTTCGAGCTTTCCGACATGCTTCCGAAGAGTTTCCCCTTATTCTGTGTGTACAAAAATGTAAAGAGAGACAGCGAGAGAAAGAGACAGAGGGAGACAGAGGGAAAAAAAGAAAGAGAAACAAAAAAATTAGTAAGATAAAATATTTGAGTCAGCGTACTGAGAGAGAGAGAGAGACAAATCAAAGGAAGCATGTTAAAAATAGAGTAACTATCAAGAGAAATTGTTAGGGCAAAAAGAATGGAAAAAAGTCATGGTCCCCTCAACACCCTATGAGTATTTTGCATCTTCTAATTTTCGCCTTCGCAAAGACGACGATGCTAAACAACAACAAGAGGAAGAGAAAAAATTTTCTATGCAAAAGTATGAATATTTAGAAGAATAAAGCAACAATTGAACCATATCACAGTCTGATGATAACTTGAGAGACAAAACTAACCAAACATTAGAATAATTAGATGGTAATTATAAGAATAGATTGACAATCGACGATGGTTAACAAAAAATCTATTAAGAAAAATAATCAACAAGTTAATTTCTCATCTTTCATTGAATTTGGACTTTTGATGAAGCGAAAGAAAAAAAGTTCTCCTCTTTCCTTCCGAAGGTGTAACTAACATCAGAGACTTTGTAGAATCACAACAACGACAAACAAAAAACGAAGAAGCAAAAATCAACAAATGTTAAAAGCTAATTAGAAATTTGACGCTATCAGTTAATAGAGTAATTAAGCAAAACACAAGTGAATATCTGATTAAAAAGGATGAGAAAAATATGATATACAAAAGATTGAAGAGATTCGATAAGAGATTGAAACCAAAAAAGAAGATGAGAAACACAGAGAGAGAGGGAGAGAGAGAGAGAGAGATATGAAAGATAGTGATAGTTGTGATCGATTATTAATTTGTCTGTGATTGGTGATTGTTTTCTTGATTGTGTTGGTAAATTGTTGATGATTATCAAATGAGAAGAAGAGGTTAAAGGTGTTAACAAGACTTACTTAAAAGTACAACTATTTTCATCCAGTTCAATGGAAACAATACTTTCGACTTTCCTAGCGTTTTGGATGTTCGCTCCATGACTACCAATAGCCAGACCCATGAGATGACTTGCGACCGTGAATTCATCTACATAACAATTGGATTGACCACTAGAATATGGATGACCGGTTGAACCATAAGATGAATTGTAGCCACTACCTTTAGAAGATTCCAATTGTTTGGCTGCTTCCTCTTTCTTAGCGATTATAATCATCTTCTGTTTAAGATTTCGAAAATGCATATCACTGAGCATATTGGCTCTCTTTTTCATCGAAATAATCGCCAGACTTTTATCCTTTGGAGCATAACCAATTGCAATTAATACCTGTTTAGTTTCATCATATCTCACTACGATAGCTTCTATGTATTGCTTAAAGTATTTATGAGCTTCTGGTCTATTAATCCAGTTGTAATTGGTTGTTGTAGATTTAAGATCATCCGGTATAGGTATCTCAATCTTGAAAAACGGGTTTAAGGTTAAACAAGGATTCGGGTTTTTGAATCTAATCCTTTCAGAAGGTACTATCTCTGAGTAAGTACTTCCTTGACTCTGACTACCCGATTCACAGTTAGTTGATGAGGGTGAATTACTGTTGATAGATTGATATTCCACAACGTGAAAATCTCCTTTGATCATCTTAACGGTGGCTCGCCACCACCCACACTGTTCACCTTCATTGCTACTTGTTAATACTTCTACTTCCATGTTTTCAGTTATAGGTGCCATCTCTGAACCGTTACCACTGTCATTTGACCCATTGTCCAGATAATTGGTTGGAGGGGGAAGTCTTATCCTATTTATGGGAAATTCACTTTGTGGCTGCCAATCATTTTCAAAGGCTAAAGTGATCATGGTTTTGCAACTCGATGGACTATTACTTTCTGCTAGGTGTGTGTACAACAATTTATATATAAGTATATTAGTAATTGTGAGTGTGTGAGAAAGAAAAACATAGAGATAGAAAATGGGAGAGAAAAAAAAATAGAAAATAGATAGTATGAAAAAAAAAAGAAAGAGAGAAAGAGAAACATAGAAAGGGTAGAAAGAGCAAGAGAAAGAGAGAGAGAAAGTACATAAAATGAGAAGATTATTACTCACCATCATTTGTTAAATTAGAAATGTTTTCATGTACATCAACTATAAAGGCTTTGTAAAAAGCTCCATTATCACCTCGGACCTCGACGATACCCTCTTTCAACAGGTCAGATTCCATATTGAAAAGGAAGCGAATGAAACAAAAAAAAACGTGTGAGAAAAAAAATCTAGAGAAATGAGAAAAAAACAAAGAGCGACTTGAATTTAAGTGAGAAGAGTTTAGTTAGAATAAAATTCGACGGCGTCGCCACCGTCGTTTTCTTTTCCATTTCTCTTTCTTTTTTCACTTTTTCTTCTCCTTCTTTTTCTCTTTCTTTTTGGCGAAGATGATTCTCTTTTTTTTCTTACACTTTAATTTCATTTTTTCTATTGATTATTGTCTAATTAGTGGTCGAATTGGAATAATTAACTGGTCTCATCAAATGGAGAAAAAGATTCGATCTGAGACAATTGAGTTTTTTCTGTTTTCTTTCAATTTTCTCTTTTCACTTGATTGTGTTTCTTTTAGTTGATTTGGTTAATTTTTCTTTATTCTAATTAAGTTTTCAAGTTTAAACTGAAATTTTTTGTTTCATTTTTTATTGAGATTCAATTGTTTCATTGGAAATTTTGATTCGATTCGTTTTGTTCAGATGAGATTCTTGTTATTAAGCCGGTGAATTTAATGCAACTTGAATTTTTCGCCGGCGGCTCCGGTTTTTAACCGGCTTATTGTTTGGCTTAGAATTTGCGGCTTTTGGGTCTTTTTGTTTTCTTTTTCACACCGGTAAACCGATTGTTGTACTTTCTGTACATTAGACTTGATCGGTTGATTTTTCGAAGTGACCTGTCAATACAATTTTCTTTCCCTTTCGCATTTTAATTCAGTTTACAATTTAAGCGACTTTTCTTAATTTTCTTTCAATTCTTCGAGTTAATCAAGAAATCAGAGAAGAAAAAAGAAAAGAAAATCACTTCAAACAATTACCAATATTCTCCAATTTCAAACGATGAAAAATATAAAACAATCTCAAGTTAATTAAGGAGAAAAAAAATCAAAGAAATTAATAAATTGTAACAATTAGAATAGAAAATTTTCCCTCGCACCAATAGATGTCACTAGTGGTTCCATTTCCTCAATGATGAAAATTAGAAAGTTGATCAAGATTAATTGTCTTGTTTTTCCTAAAAGTATAAATTTTAGCTTGATTTTTATCTTCCCTTCCATAAGTTCAGCTTAATTACAATCCATTTTAAATCAGTTAAATAGTTCCAACTCATTAATAACCAAAAAAAAAGATGAAGAAGAAATTAAAATGATAATCTCTCAGCCTTTGGCCTTTTCCAACTTTTTAATCCCAAAGACTAATAAGATTTTCACTTTTTCCCCAGCAAAAAGTAACCCAAACTAATTCACATCCCAATAATCCAATTCCAAAGAAATGTTAATCACAATTTAGATTTAAAATTGACAAAAATTAAAGTCGAAGGAGCAAAAAAAATCAAATCACAAAAACGAAGAAAAAAAAAGTTTTTCATTTAGTTGAAATTTCGATCGCCAGATGTCACTAGTGAGATGGTTACTTTTCCATTTAAATTTCGTCTCAATTAACATTTGTCACTATGATCAATTTGCTCTGAAATTGATATTAATCTCAAACAATTTAATAACAAATTAATAATTCTACCCTCAATTAGCATCCACTCAAGTGATTTAATTAATAAAACATAAAAGACAATCTCTTCTCCATGAGAGAGTACACAAACAAGAAAAGTAATCAAAGTCTCCCAAAATTAATCTAATTTGATTTGTATCAGAAAAATTGTGATGACCGTTAATTGTCAACAATCAAAGTAAAAAGGAAAAAATAATTAATCTCATCTCATCTATATAACCCTGGATATCTTTCAATATCTTACTATTTATAAACCCATAGATCCTTAAGTAAAGATAACAGATCCATGTGGATTGTGTGTTTTATTTTAATTTAGTGATTAACTTTTGAATCAACGCCATCACCATCATCATCATCATCATCATCCTCATCTTCATCATCAATTATAATCAATAATATTTTATATCAATGATATAATAATAATCACAGTGATCATCATCATCATCATCATCATCATTTCTCCTCCCAAATCTTAATACTCTGCATATAACAAAAATGATTGTTTCCAATTTTTTAACATCATTCTAATAACTTATCACTTCACTGATTGTTTACTTAATTAAACATTATCATAAACAATATCATCATCCTCATCCTCATCATCTCTACATCATCATCATTAATATATTAACATTATAACTACTATTATATTATTTATATATCTACTTAATTGTTAAACATTTTGCTCCATGTTTACATTAACCAATTGACTGACAATTTTTATCTTAAAAACAGTTAACAAAAACTTAAAACTTTTTCCCCAATAATTTAATGTTTAAACAATTATCATCAAATAATAATCATGATAATATCTCCAAATCATAATCAACTACAATTAATAAAAAACAAATCAAAGACAGAAGAAGAAGAAGAAAAAAAACCAAAACAACTACAACAATTAACTTATAATATATATAAATTATAAGAGAAAAATATAAATATAAATATAAATATAATTCCTAATAAATTAACATAATTCTGTTCTTTTAATCAATAATAATAATAATAATATAAATTTCAATTCTAACACAATCAACTAATAATCAACTTCTAAACAACAACAATCAATTTTATGTCCTTCATTTTGTTTACCTAACCATTAATAACCCAAACTCCTAACTATATATAAATTGTATTGATAATATTATAACAATAACCAGAAAAAGGCAAAAACAATAACCCAAACATTGAATATCATTAAGATTAGTATATGAAAAACTAATGATAATCTTAATTTTTAGAGAAAAAAAAAGAAAACTAATCAATTATAAATTCCTCTCGATTATGATTACTAACAAGAGTAACTAAATCTAATAATAAATCAATGAACTTTGATTTTATTTGAATAATTTTAACAAGGGAGGAGATGAAGATGATGATGATGATGATGATGATGATGATGAAGAAGAGAACAAAAAAGAGAGAGAGAGAAGACAAAAAAGATGGAGAAAGACAGAGAAAGAGCAAAGAAAATTAGTAAAAGAGAAGAAGAAAAAATAAGAAACGAAGAGAGAGCGAGTGAGTAAGTGAGAGAGAAAAGAAAATTGAAGAGAAAAGAATTAATTTTCTTTCTCTCTCTCTCTCTTCATCCTCATCCTCATCATCTTCATCTTTCATCTTTCATCTTCTTCTTCTTCTTTACCAATAACCAAATATTTCCGGTATCTCTTTACATTTTAAGGGAAAAATGCGAAAAAGAGTCAAAACCTAAAACCAGTTTTTCTCTTCTCTTTCTTATCATCTTATCTTCTCTCTCTTTTTCCTTCTGTTTTTCTTAATTATTAATCAATGACATTGTATTATTAGGATTAACAACAATTAATTTTAATGGTCACGGTCAACCAGGTTAATTTTAATCATCATATTAATCAATTGATTTCTTTAGTTTTTACAATTTCTCTCATTATTTACACATCCGTTAATAATAAATCATTGACATATCAACAGGGCTTCACAATTGAATTAATGTTATATTTGATTTCTGATTTGTGTTTAAACAATCAACTGATTATATTTTGCTCTTTAACAATAACAATTAATTATTCACAATTTACATATTAAATACATTGTTGATTGTTAATTTATTGGTGTTTCTCATTTTCACTTTGTTTTTTTTTCTTGCTAGTTTATTGTTACCTTTTTAAAGTTAATTGTTATCCTTCAGAAAAATCAATTGATTCCGATTTTATTTTCAACAATTAAATGTTACAATTATTGTATTTGCTTTAGTTAATTATTATTATCATTGTATTTAAAAGTTAATTGTATTCTCGATTGATATTATTATTTATCATTATTATCATTTAATTATCAATATCCTTCCCTGTTAGTTAACAATTGAATTGGTTTTAATTGTTATTATTATTATTATTAATATTATGCCTTAATTGGGCTTAATTTAACCTTTTAATTTGATTTAATCCTTTTGTTAATGATAATCATAATTGACTGACCATTGGTCATCCATTAATTTTCATTCAATAGTAATAGCTAATTTATTGTCTTAATTGTTGATCACATCTATTCAATTTGATTTAGTTATTTAAGGTTCAACTGTTTTAATTGTGATTTACCAATTGTTGCACCAATCAATCGGAGATAGAGAGACAAATTTATTAATTGTCTCACCTTATTTAAGCTAATTGTTCAATCAAATATTGGTGACTGTTATTTGATTGATTGTTTTACATTGATAATTGATTGTAATTGTCCTTTAACACACCAAATAGCAACAATTAGTTTTAACAAGATAATTGAAAATCAAGTTAATCAATAAGGAAATGATTACAATTAGAGACAATAATCAATTCTAATTGTAGTAGTGTTTTTTTTTCTGTTTTCAATTAATTAACTTTAATTCTTGTAAAATGAAAATACAATAAATTGTTACTCTTTATGAATACTAATTGTTTGGGAGAGTGACATTAACAGCTCAATAACAACAACAACAATTAAAACTAATCAACTGATCAATATCGCGAAATCAAATCACTTTTATCAGAAACAATTAATTATAAACTTATGATTACTTTAAATTATCTTGATCTTAATTGTTTTTCCCCCCCTCCTAAAAACAAAACTAAATCAACTAATCAATAATTTTAATCATTTCCCAATAAACTTAAATTGTTGCTTGTCACCAATATTTATAATAACTTTGATTACAGTTGATAAATGAAGTTAATTGTTAAACAGTACTTACTTTTAATTAACGTTGTTGTTGTTGTTTTAATTGTTTCTGATATATATCTTAACACAGCAAAAAATTATAACCTAAATATCAAGTTGATATCAACAATTTAAATTGATTGTTGATTAACATACAAAACTAATCATAATAATAATAAATATCCCACCCAATCAATATAACAACATAATATGTATACACGAAACTTGTTTATCAGTTAATTGTTGTCAATCAACTGATAGCCCATCATCTTAAATATTAAATTGTCAGTCGTAATTGTTGATTAATAAGGAAAGAAGAAGAAAAATTTTCTAGTTAAATTAATTGTATCCAATGATTTAGAGAAAGTAATTAAATAAATTGTCAATGAGGAGAGACACATATTGAATTTTGTATTGAAAACTGTTTATTGTTTATTTTAATTTAATTGTAATTTGCATCATTATATTTGTCATCATCAAAAAAGTGGGTGGCGATGAAAGGGTTGAGAGAGAGAGAGAGAGAGAGAGTCATTATAATAATACAATTAATTAATCATTAATGATATAATTAAATAATCAGATTGGAAAAACAAAAAGTTTTCCCGACAATCAAAAAAGTAGAGGAACACAAAATGAAGGGTTAAATTGTATTGATTATATCAAATCAATGAAAGATGATGATGGTTGATGAGAGAGAGAGACAGAGAGGGAGAGATGAGTGTGTGAAATTGGAGGGTGGGTGGTGGTGTTAGTGTGGTGGTGGTGGAGGGAAGGGAGGAGGAAGAGGAGGAGGAGGAGAGACTGGATAAAGAGGAGGAGGAAAATATCAAGATGAAGATGAAGATTATGATAATGGGAGAGAGTGAGAAAGAGAGAGAGAGGTGTGTGGATGATGAGAATGATGATGATTCGGATGAAAAGTGAAGCGGCAAGAAAAAAATTACGTCGACATGAAATGAGATTTAATTAATTGTTGTAAATTTGAATGAAAATTAAATAGTTATCATTGATAATATAAATGAAGAGAGAGAGAGAGAGAGAGAAGGGGAAAGTTATCCAAGGCGAAAGTTAATTGCAACAACAATTTGATGGTAATCAATTGTTTCTGTTAATTGTTGTCTTCGTTGTCGTTGATGATGATATTATGTTGATGATTATTGATGATTTGTTGTAGTAAAAACTTTTTGATTATCTTTTTGTTGCAATTTAGTTATTTTTTTGGTTGATTTGGTTACGATGTTGTTGATGATGATGAAAGGCAAGAGCAAAAAACAAGTTAATTGCTGATGATGATTGTTTGGTGTAGTAAATTTTGATTGTTGGTGAATTTAAATAAATGAAGAAAAAGATGAAAGAGAGAGAGAGAGAAAGGAAGATGATGAGATATCATCTTCATCATCAAGTTGATCATCATCTAATCATCACTATTAATCAACATTTAATCAACATGTTAACAAGTTATCACTCGAAGTCAATTAAATTTGTTGTTTAGTTTTAATATAAAAAAATTGCTAATTGAATGAAATGTTGATTGTAATCATGATGATGGTGATGATGATTATTATTATTGTGATAATTATGATTACAGGTTGATTGTTGTGATGATTTTCATTGATGAGGTAAAATCTATTTTGTGTCTGTATAATAATAATTTTGAATATAAAAAATTTAAATTGTTTGATCACCACCAGTCAATCAATTGTAATTAAGGGAATTAAGGTAAGCATTTAAACATCAGCATAAATATAATAGTTATCATTATAATTATAATGATGATGAAGATGATGATGAGATGATAGATGATGAAGATAAATGAGGAAACAGAATGAGAGAGAGGAGAGGGAGAGGGAGGTGTAGGTGGAGGGAGAAGGCAACTGGTTAATTGTTGTTGATGATCAATGAAAATAAAAAAATTATCATTGATTATAATCATTAAGAGCATTAAAAGCATTTATCATTATTATCATTAAAGTTAACGCTTTTGTTGCATTGTTGATCAGTCAATCAATATCAATTAATATAAAATTGTTGATAATAATTATTGATAATTTAAAACACTCACTCATAATGATAGCAAAAAAAATGAGATGAAATTTTCTGAGGTAATAATGATGATGAAGATGCTGATGGCGAGTGAATGAGTGTGAGAGAGACTGAGATAATTAGAAAGAGAGAGAGAGCTGATAAATCCAAGGCTTTAATTGTGAGTAAATTAAACATTTCGCGTTGTTGTCGATTGTTGTTGATTGTTGTTGATTGTTGTGTCTTTTTAACGTTTCACTGGACGAGTTGCATATAAAATACCAGAGTAGATGATATTATTTACTTTCATACTCAATAACATTGAATTATTATTATTATTTGTCTCGAGGTTTTGATTATTTGAGGCGAGATTATTTATATGATTGTGAAGGACACTTAATCCGTTACCGTTTTTGGCTTCTAAGTTGATGGCTTCAGCTTGAGCTTGAGCTGAAGCGAAGCCGAGAAGTTGACCGAAAGAAAGAGAGTTTATTGAGTTATCTTCTTCGTCTTCCCCTGATGATCCTGAACCACAATCATCCATTGGAATACTTTCACTTTGATTTGTGTTCATCCTCGAATGTTGTTGTCCACTTCCTTGGCGACCATTATGATTATTGTTGTTTAAATTATTGAGATTAACACCGTTCATTAAGTGACGATTAACAAGTGAAAGAGGTGATGATGATGATGAGTTTTTCACATTTCGGTGGGATGATGATGAAGGTCCATTAAGTCCAGAATGGGCACTAGAATTATTGTTATTATTAATTGACGGTTTTGTTTCAAGATTAAGAGCTTCGGCCTGAGCTTGAGCTTGAGCTTGGGCTTGAGCTGATGCTAAGGCTAATAAAGGTTGGATGGAAAGAGGATGAATTGATGAAACATTATCATCTTCATCACCTGATGAACCTGAACCACAATCACCACTTCCTCCTCCTCCTCCTCCTCCACTTCCACCGACACTTCGTGAACTTGTTCCCATTCCTAAACTTGTTGATCTATTTCCATGTCCATTGTTATTATTATTATTACTATTAACACTTTGACCACTTATACCATTAATAAGATGACGATTAACAAGTGAAAGAGCAGATGATGAACTAAGATGATGAAGTGATGGAGTTGATACACTTCGATGAGATGATGATGCCGATGGTCCAGCCCCAGAAGATGGGCCACCATTATAACCACTTGGACCAACACTCAATCCACTCAATCCACTGACACTCATTCCGACACTTGGTCCAGCTAAACCTTCATTTGATCCTCCACCTGATCCTCCTGATCCTCCCGCACCTACAGGAGATCCGATCATATCTGAATAATGTCCATATGATGATCGACGACCTTCACGTCGATTACCATCAATTGCTTGTTGTAACTCATCAGGAGACGATAAATGTTCCTTCTCACATTCGTAGGGATACAAATACTTCATATATTGTGTTCGAAGGGTAAAAGCGGCACTTGTGATGGAAGAAGGTAAATTTAACCCTTTGGTTATTTCTCTCCAAATTTTTTTGTTAATAACTTCAACTAATCCTCCTCGGGCGACCACTAGTCGATAAAGTTCATATAGATCAAGAACTTGTTTCGCCATAATTGGAATCCTATTAACAGGAGTTCCTATCATCAAAAAAAAACGCAAACACACAAACACAATCAAAGAAGCAAAAAGAGAGAGAAAAAAAAGAAAAGAAAGAAAAGAAAGAGAAATATAGAAAATTAAAACAACAATTAAAACGAAATAAAATCAACATAATCAAGTCAATATCTAATTATTATCACATCATCGCAAGAGAGAGAGAGAGAGAGAGAGATACTCAGGTAGAAGGAGAAGAAAAATTCTCAGAAGAAAAAACGAAATCATGAAGAAAAAAGAAAAAAAGAAATAAATTAATTTTCTCCTATCACAAATATATCTGTTTCCATTTCGTTATCATTATGATTATATTTTAATCATTATAATGATTATGATGATGGTAATGAATGATTTGATGATGAGGATGAAAAAAAGATGAGAGAGAGAGAGAGAGGCAGAAAGTAAAACATGCATCATTAATCAACAATGTCAGTTTGTTTTGATTAACTATTTAATTGCTTAGAATTTTAAAATACAACAATTTAATAATTTTTTCATTATGAGTTTTTATATTTGTGGAGAGAAGAAGAAAAAAAAGTTTTTTTTTCTGAAGAAAAGATTCATTTTTTTTTTCTTCTTCTAGAGAGACAAAAATTTCTCAGAACTTATCATTTATGCGTTGGTCGATTATTATTATTATTAGTTAGCAGAATGAGTTTTTACTTCTTCATCTTCTCTCTCTCTCACTCTCTTTCTTTTACAAGGATGATGATGATGATGATAATGAGGAAAGGATAAGGACTACATTACTTTAGAGCTAAACTGATAGGCTAATTCACAGCGAGATACAATTATCTCGGTAATAGCAAAAATAGATTTTTTTTTGCAAGAAGATGAGGGATGAGGATGAAAACGAAGAGTCGAGGAGACGAAGATGATGATTATATTGAAAGGAAGACGGAGAGAGAGAGAGAGAAATTTTGTAAAACAGAAAAATCCAATAAACATCTCAAGATGTTGAGAGAGAGAGGGAGAAAAGGAGAGAGATGATGATGATGATGATAAAATGAGAGAAAGATATAGAGAGTGAGAGAGTGAGAGAGAGATGAAAATATAGGAGGAGAGAGGCGGTTATCGGGCGTGTCTAAGATTCGCTGGAATCTTGTTTCTTGCGAAAAAGTAAAAACAGAAGGAGAGAGAGAGAGAAAAGTGAAAAAAAAGATGATGATGAAAACGATGATGAAGATAAAAAAGATATTGGAAAAAAAGACTCACCTCTTTGTTGCATGAAAGCAAACAGGTCGTTTAAAAACGATCGACGATCCGGATGATCACTTAAATCGTAGAGCTGCTTAAATTGCTCCTCGTATGAATAACCTTTTAGATCGTTGACCAAATAGTTGGCACCAGATTCCTCATCGGATTCGCATCCCTCCATTGGGAGAGATGGACACGGCGGTTTTTTTCTCCGAATTTTGAACAAAAAATAAAACGAAAGAAAAGTTTTTTAATTTCGACGAGAGAGAGAGAGAAACAAAACAAAACAAAAAGAAGAAAAAAAAAGTTTTGTTTGTTGTTCTTCTTCACGTTGTTGATTTGTTGTGATGATGATGATGATGAAGAAAAATTTGAAGTTAATGGTTGAACATTAGAAACAAAAATGAACGAAATAGGAGAAAGATGATGAAAATAAGTGAGTAGGAAGATAAGGGGGAGAGAGAACGATAGAGTGAAAGGGAAGTAAGAAGGTGTCACCACCTATCGATAATCATTCTTTCCAATATTAAGACAGAGAGAGAGAGAGTGAGAGAGACCAGAGGATTAGAATTTCAAATTTTTGAATGAGAAGATGAGATTAAGCTAATCTGTTTATCTTATAACTATACCACCTGAACTTAGAGTTAATACCATTGAGAGTCCATAGGTAAGGGCAGTTAATCCGTTACCATTATAAATGATTAACATTTTTTTTTACATTCTTGTTAATCCATAAAAATCATTTTCGCATCAATTATATTGCAACATCTCAATTAAGATTTTGATTGTAATCTATTTATCTGATCTTGTTTGGTGTTGATACATTTTGATTGGAAAATTGTTGTAATTGTGTCAATTTATGATGAAAATGTGTTTAATTAATTGTAACAATTAACTTGTTTCTGTGGTTTTTTTTGTTTCGGTTTCCGGTTTTGTTGTTGTTGTTGTTGTTGTTGAGATGGATTAACCATTGAAAGTGGATTAAGCTTATTGATGATTAACATTGAACACCAACATTAAGTTTGTTTTAATTGATTTCATTGTTTATAATCAGTTGGTTTAAATGTGTGACACGAGTTAACAATTAGTTAATTTGGAGGAAAAAAACAACGAGTAATTAATAAAATTTATGTCTCATTGCGTTATAATTGTGTCATTAGTTTTTGATGAGAAATAAGAAATTAAAGTTCTTTTCCATTAACTAATTTTTTAAACCAATTTGATTAATCTGAATTATGGTGAGTTTTTTAGATAAGATTATCTAATCATCACTACAATTAGATTAATTGTTGGTTATTTGAAAAGCACATTGGAAGCTACGGCAAAAGGTTAATGGAAAAGGTAAAGCTCGGTTATTTTTCGCAATCAGCTGACAATTAACTGACCAGCTGATATTTTAACCAACATTCACCGAGTTTAATTCGGTTTTTCAGTTAATGGAAAAGCCCTTAAATTAACAAAAAATTAAATTGTTGATGATCAAATTGATGATCATAATAAATGATGAGGTAAGAAAAGGTGAAAAATGAGATTTAATTGTTGTAAATTGTGATTGGAAAATTAGATTTACTTTTCATTGATTGTGGTAAAAAAAAAGATGAGAAAATTGTCTCAAGTGATTAACTTAATTGTAACAATTTGATGGTGCACAATTGTTGATTTGTCTTCGTTGATTGTTAGGTTGATCGTTGTTGCTGATTCGTTGATTTTATTATGATGGTTTTTGGTGAATTTAAATAAATGAAGAAAAAGATGAAAGAGAGAGAGAGAGAGAGAGAGAGAGAGAGAGAGAGAGAGAGAGAGAGAGAGAGAGGAAAAAGATGATGAGATATCATCTTCATCATCAAGTTGATCATCATCTAATCATCACTATTAATCAACATTTAATCAACATGTTAACAAGTTATCACTCGAAGTCAATTAAATTTGTTGTTTAGTTTTAATATAAAAAAAATTGCTAATTGAATGAAATGTTGATTGTAATCATGACGATGATGATGATGATGGTGATGATTATTATTATTATTGTGATAATTATGATTACAGGTTGATTGTTGTGATGATTTTCATTGATGAGGTAAAATCTATTTTGTGTCTGTATAATAATAATTTTGAATATAAAAAATTTAAATTGTTTGATCACCACCAGTCAATCAATTGTAATTAAGGGAATTAAGGTAAGCATTTAAACATCAGCATAATGATAATAACGATCCTTCAAACCAATGGTCAAACTTGTTTACGGGCAAATGTAAATGCAAAAGTTTCTAGTCAATTTAAGGCTAAGCTTTTTTCTTGTTCAAATGGTCATTTGGTCACTTTGTAAATAATACAATTTACGAAACCAGAGCAATAAACATTGATTGTTTCTCTCTGTAAAAAAACATTAGGCTTGAGTTTTTCGATGAAAAATTTTTGAGGTAATAATGATTATAAAGATGACGGTGAGTGAGCGAGATAATTAGAAAGAGAGAGAGAGAGCTGATAAATCCAAGGCTTTAATTGTGAGTAAATTAAACATTTCGCGTTGTTGTCGATTGTTGCTGATTGTTGTTGATTGTTGTGTCTTTTTAACGTTTCACTGGTCGTTCTGCATATAAAATACCAGAGTAAATGATATTATTTACTTTCATGCTGAGAAGCAATGAATCACTTAACCCGTTACCGTTTTTGGCCTCGAAGTTAATGGCTTCAGCTTGAGCTTGAGCTGAAGTTATGCCGAGAAGTTGACCGATAGAAAGAGGGTTTACAAAGTTCTCTTCTTCCCCTGATGAACCCCCATCGTCCATGTCCATTCTTATATGTTGTTGTCCACTACCTTGGCGACCATTGTTATGATTTTTACTGATATTGTTAAGATTTACACCGTTTATTAAGTGACGATTAACAAGTGAAAGAGGTGATGATGATAAGCTGTTCACATTTCGGTGGGATGATGATGAAGGTCCATTAAGTCCAGAATGGGCACTTGAGTTGTTATTATTAATTGACGGTTTTGTTTCAAGATTAAGAGCTTCGGCCTGAGCTTGAGCTTGAGCTTGGGCTTGGGCTTGAGCTGATGCTAAGGCTAATAAAGGTTGGATGGAAAGAGGATGAATTGATGAAACATTATCATCTTCATCACCTGATGAACCTGAACCACAATCACCACTTCCTCCTCCTCCTCCTCCTCCACCGACACTTCGTGAACTTGTTCCCATTCCTAAACTTGTTGATCTATTTCCATGTCCATTGTTATTATTATTATTATTATTACTATTAACACTTTGACCACTTATACCATTAATAAGATGACGATTAACAAGTGAAAGAGCAGATGATGAACTAAGATGATGAAGTGATGGAGTTGATACACTTCGATGAGATGATGATGCTGATGGTCCAGCCCCAGAAGATGGGCCACCATTATAACCACTTGGACCAACACTCAATCCACTGACACTCATTCCGACACTTGGTCCAGCTAAACCTTCATTTGATCCTCCACCTGATCCTCCTGATCCTCCAGCACCTACAGGAGATCCGATCATATCTGAATAATGTCCATATGATGATCGACGACCTTCACGTCGATTACCATCAATTGCTTGTTGTAACTCATCAGGAGACGATAAATGTTCCTTCTCACATTCGTAGGGATACAAATACTTCATATATTGTGTTCGAAGGGTAAAAGCGGCACTTGTGATGGAAGAAGGTAAATTTAACCCTTTGGTTATTTCTCTCCAAATTTTCTTATTAATTACCTCTACTAATCCTCCTCGAGCGACCACTAATCGATAAAGTTCATAAATATCAAGAACTTGTTTCGCCATAATTGGAATCCTATTAACAGGAGTTCCTATCACCAAAAAAAACACAAACACAGAAGAGAGAGAGAGAGAGAGAGAGAGAGAAAAGTGAAAAAAAAGATGATGATGAAAACGATGATGAAGATAAAAAAGATATTGGAAAAAAAGAATTTCTAATCAATTATAATAATCGATAAATTAAACTTACCTCTTTGTTGCATAAAAGAGAAAAGGTCATTTAAAAACGAACGACGATCCGGATGGTCACTTAAATCGTAAAGTTGCTTAAACTGTTCCTCATAAGAATAACCTTGTTGACCATTTACATTTTCGGCACTGACCAAGTAGTTTGATTCGTCATCAGATTCGCATCCCTCCATCGGGAGAGATGGACACGGTGGTTTTTTTCTACGAATTTTGAACAAAAAAATAACTAAAAGAAAAAAACTATAAAGAAGTTGGAGTTGTGTTTCTTTTAAACTGAACAATTTGCAATGAAACGAAATAGCAAAAAGATGATGAGAATAAGTGAGCAGGAAGATAAAGAGAAAGAGGCAGAAAGAAAGAAAGAATGAGAGATAGAGAGCAAAAAAGAGGGAGAAAAAGAGTGAAAAGAAAAGTGAGAAGGGGTCACCATCTATCGATGATCATTTCCGATATTTGAAGGAGGGAAAAAAAAGAAAAAGAGTAAAAACAACAAGGATTGAGAAAAAAAAATTCTCTTCTAAAAGATTAACCTAATCCCTTTAATCTCATAAGAAACCACCTTGAGATCCAATTAATCCTTCATTAGAATCATGATGATTATCTTTTCCATCGCCATCAACCAACCAATTAAACAATAATCTAATCAAGTGATATCACTTTCGATTATCATTTATTAATTTAAACTGAAGAAAGAAGAAGAAAAAAATTATGTCAATCAATTTATCGTAACAATCAATAAATCAATCAATCATTTGCTAATCCTCGAGATGGACATAAAATGACATAAACACACACACCGACGATGCTCATCCTTTAAATGTATTAATCTAATAATATAATGAAATGATAATATCATTTTTTGATAATAAATATTAATGGTTAATGATTCCAAATCCTTAATTGCAGTTAAAAGGTAACAACAGGTAGGTAAACAATCAATAAATAATCTTATTTATATATATACGATAATCAAAAGTATCTTTTATAAGAAAAAAAGACATAAAGAAAACACCATTGAGAAATCAAATTGTGAATCAATGGCGAAACAATTTAATGATAATGATTAAAGATTAAATTGTCATCGTTTCTTTAAAACAATTGAAATACAAAAGTTTTTGATACTCGGTGAACCATTAACATCATATTCACTTCACACACTCATCACTTATTGTTACTCATCTTGTTTATCACCCACCTGTGTCATTTTTTTCATCATCATCATCTTCATCTTCATCTTCATCTTCATCTATATATCTATTGCTTACAGACTAGTTTTCCCGCATCAGTAAGTTTATCCCCTCAGGGTGTATAAACATATTCCCATTGATAGATTACATGAAATAATAATAATGATGTGTGATTAGTTGATTATAATTTAGTTTGTCATGGTTCCTGTGATACAATAACAACCTGTTGATAATAATGATCATATTAGTTTTTTTTTCCTGATTTAATATTATATTCATATGAAAGTTTATTATATATATAATATCAGCTACAAGGTGATGCATAATTAGGGAAAGTTAATATTAACAATTTAAAGAGGCAAAAGAAACTAAATTGACAACAATCAAGAAGATGAACAAGAAAAAAAAAGATGATGATGATGATGAATATATGAATACAATTGGTTAATCATTGAACAATTTCAATAGCATTTTATTGATGGATGGATGAAGAGTTAATTGTTCATCTTTTTATTCATCAGTCAATTTGATTTTCATATCAACTTTACGAGCTACACTGTATTCCCCATGAAATATCATGTTGATTATTGGATACAAATCGTATCATTATCATTAGATTGTTGTTGCTTTTTGTTTTTCTTACCTGTGGAAAAGGTTAATTTTTCTTGATTACCTTGATGATCTTGGTTTTTTTTGCTGTTCTGGAAAAAAAAACTTCTGAATTTTAATAATTATCTCAATAACTGATTACCTGATTATAAGTTGTTGATTTAATTGTTGCTGTTGTCTGATTGTTGTGTGAGTCAAGCGGATCCCCCCTCCAGTGATTTTAATTGTTGTTACACTTTTTTCATTTCATTTTTATTGTTAATAATTATCAATGTGTATCCAATTATATGTTGATCAGATTTTATGATTTAAGCTTCTCGCTTTTCTGATTAATTGCTTGTGGAAAAAAAAAAGTTAATTTTCCCTCTTGACTAAATTATTATATTATCATTATTATGGATTGGATGTTAATTGTTTCGTGTCATAATGATTGTGACAATCAGTGAGATGATGAGATTACAATTAATTGCAACAAACATTTAACTTTTAAGCAAAATCTTTTGTTTTTTTTGTTCTGTTTATTTGTGTATTAATAAAACGTATTATCGGTTGATTGTAAACAATTAACTAATCACTATTTTCCAAGGTAAGAAAGTGAAGAGAATTGTTTTTTCTCGTTAATTTTATCATTGTGATTACCTAAAGATGACCAGTGGCTATTTGGCGGTACAAAAGGCTTTCTCTCTCTCTCTCTCTCTCTCAAAGATGATGATGGTGATGAAGATGAAGATGATGATGATGAGGGTGATAATGGTGTAGACACAATTTTCCATCTTCTTTTAACTATTTCATTGGATATTTAATTACATAGGAAATACGAAGGAAAATTATAAGCTCAATTGTCGAGTGATTAACTATCGATACCAATCAATTGTCTTGAAGGAAAAGAATTTTTTTTTTCTCTTCAAAATTTGATTCATAATAAGAGTTTTATTGTCTTTCTTTCTTGGTAAATGAATGACATTTGGCCTCCGGGGGTCAACAGGTAACTCCAAAGGGAAAACAACTCAGAAAAAGGTATAACGTAAATAATAAGTGATCCATTGATTACACAAAAATACAAACATAATTGTCAACTTTTCTGTTATTAGAATGGAAAAGAAAAAAACAAAAACAAAATTTTTTCTTCTTAATTGTTGATTACTTTTAAATCTTATATATATGACCTAAGGCGATGTTCAATCAACTCAGATTAACCTTTGATATATTGAGATTAAATTTATTACTACTTTAGTGAGTATTCACTTAACAATTTAGATTAGAATCAATTTTCAACAGAGAAAATTGATTTTGAGCCTCATTCGAACTCGATTATCCTGAATGGTCAAGCATTGGAATGATTTTCTATCATTTAATTAATTGCAACAATTTAAGGGTTAATAACAATCGAATTAAGTTGTGCAACAATTAGTTGATTTACTATTTTCAGTTAATTGTGGTTAATAATGATCAAGAGCTTTTTTCATTGTTGGTTTAATGAGTATCATTGAAGTGCTATAACAATTAAAGAAAAATGTGACAATTAAGAGTGCAAGATAATTAAATTGAATCAATTCTTTTGGTAATCAAATTAATCACCATTCTAATTGAGAACTTAACAAATATACTCAACTAATTGTTGATTTGATTGTGAATTTAGATGATTACAAGTTGTTTCATTGGTATGAATAGATTGGATCACTTTAATTGTCAAGTTGATTTTTCGTATTCGTATGTTTAAATTAAGGATAATTAAAGAGTAAATATTTTAATTGTGAGAGTCAAGTTAATTTGAGTGGTGAGATGATTGTATTGATTTACAAAATAATTGAGATCAGAGCAAAAAAGGATTAAGGACATTTCTAGTCCAGTTGAACCAATAGTAAACACCATTGATTGTTACAATTAACATCGAGGAGAAAAAGTTTATTAATAAATTAGTATTGATTTAGATCATTTGAAAATTGAAATTATTTTATCATTTGAATTAATGAGAAATTGTAGACAAAAGAAACAAAGAAAATGAAAGATGAAATTTCCTCAGGTAACAAACATCATGAAGATGAATGAGAATCATGATAAATCCAAGGCCCTAATTGTGAATAAGTTGAACGTTCTTGTTGATTGTTTGAGTCTTTTTAACGTTTAACTGCTCGTTCTGCATATAAAATACCAGAGTAAATGATATTATTTACTTTCATACTTAATAACATTGAATTATTATTATTATTTGTCTCGAAGTTTTGATTATTTGAGGCGAAATTTTTTAAATGATTTTGAAAGACACTTAATCTTTTAGCTTCTAAGTTGATGGCTTCAGCTTGAGCTTGAGCTGAAGCGAAGCCAAGTGGACCGAAAGAAAGAGAGTTTCTTGAATTATCTTCTTCGTCTTCCCCTGATGATCCTGAACCACAATCATCCATTGGAATACTTTCACTTTGATTTGTGTTCATCCTCGAATGTTGTTGTCCACTTCCTTGGCGACCATTATGATTATTGTTGTTTAAATTATTGAGATTAACACCGTTCATTAAGTGACGATTAACAAGTGAAAGAGGTGATTTATCATGATGATTATGAGATGATGATGAAGGTCCATTAAGTCCAGAATGGGCACTTGAGTTGTTATTATTAATTGACGGTTTTGTTTCAAGATTAAGAGCTTCGGCCTGAGCTTGAGCTTGGGCTGATGCTAAGGCTAATAAAGGTTGGATGGAAAGAGGATGAATTGATGATGAACTAAGGTGATGAAGTGATGGAGTTGATACACTTCGATGAGATGATGAAGCCGATGGTCCAGCCCCAGAAGATGGGCCACCATTATAACCACTTGGACCAACACTCAATCCACTGACACTCATTCCGACACTTGGTCCAGCTAAACCTTCATTTGATCCTCCACCTGATCCTCCTGATCCTCCCGCACCTACAGGAGATCCGATCATATCTGAATAATGTCCATATGATGATCGACGACCTTCACGTCGATTACCATCAATTGCTTGTTGTAACTCATCAGGAGACGATAAATGTTCCTTCTCACATTCGTAGGGATACAAATACTTCATATATTGTGTTCGAAGGGTAAAAGCGGCACTTGTGATGGAAGAAGGTAAATTTAACCCTTTGGTTATTTCTCTCCAAATTTTCTTATTAATAACTTCAACTAATCCTCCTCGAGCGACCACTAATCGATAAAGTTCATAAATATCAAGAACTTGTTTTGCCATAATTGGAATCCTATTAACAGGAGTTCCTATCATCAAAAAAAAAACGCAAACACAAACACAAAAAATCACAATTAAAGTGAGAGAGAGAGAAACAGAAAAGTAATAAACAAAGATGAAGATATAAAGATATTCCAAAAAAAAGAATTGATTATCAGATAATAATCGATAAATTAAACTTACCTCTTTGTTGCATGAAAGAGAAAAGGTCATTTAAAAACGAACGACGATCCGGATGGTCACTTAAATCGTAGAGTTGCTTAAACTGTTCCTCATAAGAATAACCTTGTTGACCATTTACATTTTCGGCACTGACCAAGTAGTTTGATTCGTCATCAGATTCGCATCCCTCCATCGGGAGAGATGGACACGGCGGTTTTTTTCTACGAATTTTGAACAAAAAAAAATAACTAAAAGAAAAAAACTATAAAGAAGTTGGAGTTGTTTCTCTTAAACTGAACAATTTGTAATGAAACGAAATAGCAAAAAGATGATGAGAATAAGTGAGCAGGAAGATAAAGAGAAGAAGGAGAGAGAGAGAGAGAGAGAGAGAGAGAGAGAGAGAGAGAGAGAGAAACAGAAAAGTAATAAACAAAGATGAAGATATAAAGATATTCCAAAAAAAAGAATTGATTATCAGATAATAATCGATAAATTAAACTTACCTCTTTGTTGCATGAAAGAGAAAAGGTCATTTAAAAACGAACGACGATCCGGATGGTCACTTAAATCGTAGAGTTGCTTAAACTGTTCCTCATAAGAATAACCTTGTTGACCATTTACATTTTCGGCACTGACCAAGTAGTTTGATTCGTCATCAGATTCGCATCCCTCCATCGGGAGAGATGGACACGGCGGTTTTTTTCTACGAATTTTGAACAAAAAAAAATAACTAAAAGAAAAAAACTATAAAGAAGTTGGAGTTGTTTCTCTTAAACTGAACAATTTGTAATGAAACGAAATAGCAAAAAGATGATGAGAATAAGTGAGCAGGAAGATAAAGAGAAAGAAGGAGAGAGAGAGAGAGAGAGAGAGAGAGAGAGAGAGAAAGAGGGAGAAAGCGAGTGAAAGAAAGGGAGAAAAGAATGGAATGAAAAGTGAGAAAGGGTCACCAATCATCGATGAGCGTCATTTCCGATATTTCGGGAGGGAGGATGAAAAAGAATAAAATTAATTATTGAGAAAAAATTAAAAAAATTAAAAAAAATTCTTTTCCAGGAGATTAAACTAATCCCTTTAATCTCATAAGAAACCACCTCAGTAGAAATCTGGTTAATCCATCATTAGAAAAACTTTCAATCGCTAGCAACCAATCAAATGATTGACCAATAATTTAATTAATCAGCTCATGAAAGAGATTCAAGTCTCTTAATCATCAAAAACGATAAATTTAAACATTTAATTGAATCATTTCAACACAATTTAATTGTTTACATTGTCAATTTTAATTGATTAATAAAAACGATAAGTAGGTGATTAATTTTATTAATATTTCAATCTTCATTTATTTATAATTCACTATTCTAATCAAATCAATCAATGAATATCTTGGATGATTAGTTAATTGTTATTGTAATAGTTGAACATATTGTACACACACATACAATTAATGCAAATCTAATTGTTGTTTCTAATCCGTTTCTCTTGTTCACCAAATGATTTAAACTTTACTCAATTCAATTGATAATTAATCTACTAATGAGTAGGAAAAGGGAGGATAATTTGAAGATGATGATGATTATATATTTTTTTTGCCACTTTTGACCAACGGTCAAAGTAATGAGTCAGCGGGGTGGACTTGAATGGTCATCGGTTGTTTTTGTGCTGACTTTCATTTATATATATATATAATTATTACAGGTTGTCAGACTTGTCATTATTATTATTATTATTGTTGTTGTAGTTGTTGTTGTTGTTGCTTTTGCTGTTGTATTAGGGTCAAGGTCAAGGTTGAAAAACTGGACTGACCAGTTCAAGTTTAACTAAGTTTCCTGTCTCTGTTTTTAAAACCAATGGTCAAACATGTTTACGTGCCAATGTAGTTTCAACAATTTCTAGTCAATTTAAGGCTAAACTTTTTTTGTTCCAATGGTCATTTGGTCACTTTTTTCATATAATTTTCGAAACCAGAGCAATAAACATTGATTGTCTCTCTCTCTCTCTCTCTCTCTCTCTCTCTCTCGCTCCTCTTTCTTTCCTCTCTCTCTCTCTGTAAAAAACATTAGACTTGATGGAAATTCTTTGGGTGACCTTTCACAAGAAACATTAGGACTTTGTCTTTTCATTATTGGTCACTATTGGTCAAGAAATCTGGTTAAGGCAAAAAAATGGACCAAATATTTGGACCTAAATTTTAATTGACCTCGAGGGCAAAGTAAACAGTTGAGAGGTTAACTATTAACTCTTATTAGAGTTTTATTTTCTTCCCGTTGTTGAGAAAATGATGAAAAACTTTTTTCCTCTCTTCTTATCAATAACAACAAATCAATTTCGGAACAATTAAGTAAATAATATAATTATATTAATCTAAACAGTTCTAAATCAAAGTTTAATATCAATTCAAACAATTATCAATAACAATTAACTATTATTTTACAATCAATTAGCATTAATTATAAATATTAAAGTGCCAAATAAGCAAACACATAAGAGTGAAAATTATACTTGAATCAATTTGACACTTATAATGATAATGATCATTAATGATTAGCAAAATATTGAAAGAAATTAGTTAATTGTTAGTTTTGGTTAATTAAAAGACTATTTAAATGATCGTGATTATGACTGGGTGACAATTACGATTACGATTTAATTGCGTTTCGATTTTGATACAGATTGAATTGTATTTCAATAGATGGCATTAGAAGCTTTTGTTACGATTTTACTTTTTTTTTGATATCAAAAAGAAAGTGAGAGAGGGAAAGAGAGAAGATGATAAAGGGGTGGGAGAAAGAGAGAGGATTAGAGGTAAAATAGATGAAGAAGATGAGGGAGAAAGAGGAAAAGAGAGAGAGAGACAGAATTCTGATGTAACCATGGCAACGAGCAGGTACCAGGAACACTCAGTTTTCATTGAGTTTCTCTCATGCTTTTCATGAGATCCCAAAAAAAGTTCCAATCAAATTACCAAAGGGAAGACCAAGAAGAAGAAGAAAATAAAAAGACCATATCATCATCATCATCTCTCTCTCTCTTTTCTTTTTCGAATATTCTTACTTTTTTTTCTATCATTGAGAATTTCGAAAAAAAATTCATTCTTTCATCGTTTCATCTTCTCTTTCAATGTTTTCGTCATTTTTTACTGTTCTGTGAATTCTCAGAGTAACAACAACATTGTCTCCATTGTAATCGATATAAATTCAATATCTTTACATTGACACTCACTAAAAACAAAAGAGACTCATCATTATCTCTCCAACTCACTCACTCACTCTCTCGTTTTCATCTTCCTTTGATATTCCCAGTTACTATTCAGTTAAAGTTCTGATTCAGTTTCAACTCTCTGAATTAAATGACAAACAATCATCAACATATAACATGAAATGGTTTCATCATCAGTGATTTCATCTTATCTTTCATCTTATCATCCTCATCTTCATCACCATCATAATCATCATCATCATCAACATCATCGTTATCATCACCACAAGGATAAGGATTATCTTAATCTTCATCTTATTAATCTTGAAATGTGACAAAAAAAAAGAGACTCAACTAATTTTCATCATTTTTTTTTTTGCTTAATCTTAATCTTAGTTGTTGTTGTTGTGCTACTAATCCCAAACTGCTGAGTGTCAATTGTTCATGTACACAGAGTAATTAGTTAATTGTTATTAAACTGTGTGTTTGTGTATTCCTATTATCAATCTAATTATCTATTTGTTAGACTGACCACAATAAACTAATGTGTGTGTGTGTGTGTGTTAATTGTAACAATCAATGGCTGGAGCCTTAAGTATTGTTTCCGGTGCTCGAGCTGGACAAACACCTCAAGAGGCGATCCTTGAAATTTACACTGGACAACACAAATTCACGTAAGTACATGATTGCGATTTGCTAATCAATTGGCATGACAATTAAATAATCACCAATTATTGTAAACAATTAACAATTGAATGACAAGGGAAAAAAGCTGAAAGTAGATAATCAAATCAATCGTTAAACACAACAATCAACTGTACCCATTGAAATGCATTAATCATGTTATATTTATATAATCAAAATGATTATTATCAATCGATTGAAACCTTTCAAATTAATCATAATCAACTAATCATTACAATCTAATAACTTTATCACAATTGATTAAATTCATAAATTGGTCAAGTTTGTTTTCCTCTCTCTCTCTATTTAATCAGTATAAACGAAAAGGATTATGATTTGAGATTAAAAGGATTTTAAATCAACAGATGAATGTTTCGCAATTAAATTTGATTGTCACAATTAAATTAAAGATTCTAAATTGTTACAATTAACCCCAGACAATTTAGAGGAGAAAGAAAAAAAAAAGATTTTCTTTTTTGTAACTTATCCAAAAAAACTGTCATATATTTTTATCATCAACAAGATCCAAGGTTATCCTTGGTAATCAGAGTTAACAATCAATCAGAACAATTTGTTAATTGTTGTAAAATTAAAAGTGAAAAGTTAATGATGAGAATAATTTTGTTCCCAGTTTAATATTTAAATTTACCATTAATTGTATTACTAATATAAGTTGATTGTTATTGATTATACTGCAACTAAATTGTTATCATGTTCAATTTTCATGGTAACAATTTAGTTTATTTTTTTTGTATTATAACTTTGATTATTATTGTTGATCAATTGAAAACCTTTCATCAACTTGTAATTACATTTAATGAATGAAAGTTTTGTGATGATTGAGAAACTTTTTTTTTTTTAAATTGTTCATCAGTTTAACTATCACACAAACTAATTGAAATGAATAATAATCATCATTATCATAATCATTTCATGGTAACATGAAAATTTCAAGATATTCATTGAAAGGTTCATTCAGGTAGCACATGAAAAATATCAACATGATAATGGATGAAAATGAAAACTAACTTAATTTGATTAACAATTATAAAATCTATTGAAATTGTAACAATTTAGGAAGTAATAAAAAAAACAATTTCATTAACCGATCGGTCAATTAACTTTTAACAATCAGTGACATTTGATTAGTAAATTGCTTGTCTAACCATTTAGAAAGGTACATAATTATTATAAGAAAATTCAATTAACTGATTAACCAAATGATGAAATTGTTTACAATTAAAAAGTTAACATTTTCATTCATCACAATTGTCAAGATTCATTATCAAAGGTAAATATATAAAATGATAACAAAGTGATGAGGATGAAGATGCGGACAAAAGGACAAGAAGATGGAGAAAAATTGATGAAAGAAAATTTTATCATCCATTAATCTTGGAATAGTAAATTTCATCATCATGTTAACATGATGCTCGAAATGATATTTTAACTACACATTCAGATTCATATATATTCATATAAATTGTTATATTTGATTTCTTTGCTTGCAAATTCAGCTTATAAAGACTATCCTGATGATAGTGATGCTGATGATGATGATGATTATTATGATTCCTACCGAAAATTCAATCTTGTTGTTGTATTATCATGGTTACCATGTTATTATTATTGAATGAATAAGGAAACTGACAAAAAACTTAACCCATAAAGTAAAAGGTTTTGTTGTTATAATATTTATATAAATATATAACTTTTTGTTGTTGGTTAACCAGCACAACTAACAAGGCTACTTAACCCAGAAAAAATAACTCATCTCTTCAGAATCTGTATCATGATAACTTATCACCATCATCATCATCATCATCACCATGAATCTATTCATTAGTTATACAAAACACCATGTATGATGACCAATGGTGGTGTTGTCCAACCATTTTGACAAACTTTCAACCCAAAAGAAAAGCAAAATTAATCCATCAACTTATTGTAATATTATTATTACACAAATGTAATCATGTAACATTGTTATTAGTTAATCTTTAGCATCTCTTACTTATCTTCCCAGTCTTTGTATCCTGATTATCACTGTTATTGGAATTGTTCAGTTGATGAAATTTCTTTAAGGTCAAAATTCTGATCTCTTTGATTCTTTGGTGTTAAATGATAACATTATCCTTTTGTCTTCTTTACTGTTTTCTCAAAATTCTGAAAGCGTTCAGTTAATCTGGAGAATCTTCGTTTTCAGGTTATCTTCAAGTTCCATCCCCTCTTATATAATATAAAGACTTCAACCTCCTCATGAACTGAGAGAGAGAGAGAGAGAGAGAGAGAGAGAGAGAGAGAGAGAGAGAGAGAGTTTGTTACTATTATATTTTATTGATTTATGTGAGTCAATTTCCAGGTTCATTTTTACCTCTTTCTTTTGCTTCTTCAGGTATTGCTCATGATATTATATCACAATATTGAATAATCTGAATGAGTAGCAACTCAGTAATATAATATTAAGGATAATATTCTGGGTTGGTGATAATTTATAGCATTAAAATGATCAACATGTTATGTTGTTTAGATGTTTAAGTTAATTATGATTACCCTTTTGGTTTGGTTATCTTGATTATTGAATCTGAGAAGCTGAATAAAATGAATTTCATCAAGAAAATTTTGTTCACCCAACAGATAATTATCGATAATATAATCCGTGGTTCTAACTGTAATATGATGATAGTTATCATCATCTAAAATAAAATCAATTGAACATGATGATAGTTATCTTCATGAATTCAGTGTATTTATATATACATGATACTGTAAATTACTTATCCGAGAATGTTGTTGATGATGATGATAAATAAGATGATGATGATGATGATTATCATCTTGATGGTTAAGTTCATTACTAGAATGTTATATATTTAATGATGATTAGATGAACGAATAGGAATTTTCAACTTACTCGAATCAGATGAAGAAAAAAAAATAAATTCATTCTCAGGTAAATGATGATGATGATTAAGATGATAATCATCTTGTTTCATGATGATAATGGATCAAGAATGATGATATGGATTAGTTTAGTTGATTCTTAATGCTGATTAAATTGGTGGTATAAGTAATACAAGCAAATATGTATCGATTTTTGAACTTTTTTTTACCGTTATCATGATTAAACTAATGTATTAGTTTCATTCAAATCGTTGAACCATTAAAAATTTAATAATTGTTTAGTCAATTGTAAAACTAATATTAATCAAGAGCAAAAATTAGTCACCTGATCATTTTAATCATCAATGAACAATTAGTTTTAAATGGTTAAGGTTTACAATTGAAAAAGAATTGAAAACTTTTATTAATTGTTATTAGTATCTCGATTGTTACATTGTATTGATTTAGCTTAATTGTGTCAAGTTGATTTCAATTTTTGTTTCCCTTTGTCTCTCACATTAAACAATTAAAATTGATTATTAACTGTTGTTGACAGTTTTGTGTTAATAGTTAATAATGAAATTTTTTTGACAAACATGGTTAAGTTAATTGATTAATTAACTATTAGGAAAATAATAATAAGAATGGGGGAGAAGTTAAATTATCTCAGATTTGATTGAAGATTATTAATCATTAACCTTAATCCTTTCAAATGATGACAAGATTAAGAGATGAAGGATTAGTGAAAAGGTAAAGAAGGAAAAATTATCTTCTCGAGTTTACCTTCAACTTTTTTTCTTATCTGAATAATAATAGATTAATTATCATGACAGAATTTCGGTGATTATATCATTAGATTAATATTGTTTCATTATCATGAGTGAAATAAATCTGAGTTGGAAGAAAATTTCCATGAGAAATTCATAAGAAAACCAAGGAAAGTATAATGGAAACTGAATTCCCTGGATTCCTTGAACTGAGAAAGAGATAGAGACATATTATTCCAGTAGAATAGAAAGAAAAATTCTCATGTTCCCCTGAAAGAAACAAAAGGAATCAACATTAACAATGAACATGGAATGAGCTTGATAATGATTCTGATAATCAGCTGAATGTAAAATTTAAACCCTCAGGGTATCATGATGATATTAGGCTGCTGTTAATGCATCAAACGATTGAAATCATTTAGCACTGAATCAATGATGAACTTTTTTTTTACTTGTTCTCCTTATGATAACAATTAACTTTTTTTTGTTCGTCTTTTCAAACAATAGAAAAAAAAATCGAACCAAACAAAATGAATTCGAAAAATGTTCTTATAATATCTGAACTTTTCTCGAATTTGACCTGATTAGAAACATTTCGAGTCTCTCATTCACTTTTATTACGAATATACAAAACTAACAGACAGCAAGAAGAGTGAATTGCAATCAACTCATGACAGAATTTTGAGAAAATCGATAAAATCTATCGTTATGAGGGAACTCGAATTTCTAATAATAGTGATCAAGTTTTCGAGCTTCATGCAAACACGATTAAAATTATAATCGAATTTTTTTTATCTATTTTTTCCATTTTAAAATTCATTTCCAGTGCAAATGTATCATGATGATGCTGATGGTTCTTAGTTGATATCATGTTTAATCAAAAGATATAAGTTGATGATTAGTTTGAACATTTTGCCATCAGAATTTTGAGTTTTTTTTTCGTTTCGCTTTTGATTGGAAAATAAAGTTCTGGATTTTATAATAATTTCTCTCATCGTTGAGTCTCATGTAAGTCAAATGCTGGTAGAATTTTGTCAGAAAGAGAAAGATAGAATTCCATGTAATATTTATTACCATCTATCGATTCCTGAGCCTTGAAGGCTTGGTAATCCTTCATCATTCATCATGTTTACTGTTATTTACTGTTTGAGTACGAGTTGAGTTGATTCAATGATGATAATTATAGTCAGAGTTGGAAAGGTAAATAATGACAAAAATTATCTCCTCATCCCTGATTTCATCATGTTTACCCACCCAAAATGCTTAGATGTGATGTATTATTAATAGTAAATTGTGTTTGAGGTGTAAACTCATGTTTCTCACCAGAACCAGAATCCTGA